TTACAATTATTGTACTTCATTAACACAGAATTTCTACTAATACTTGATTCATCAGATTTTGCAACTTGATCCCCAATGGTTTCCCCACATAATATTGTAGGCCATAGATTGACCATGTAGGTCTTCATTACTTCCAAGTATACTTCTCAGTTCTCACAAACAACATCCAGTACCTTCGACTTTAACTATATTAAAAAGGCTAAAACAAAAATAATACATGGAAATCAAGAAACCTTAATAACCAAGCCTTGGACATCAGATAATACAGACTTGCGACGAAAATTACATACAACTCACCCAGTGCATCAAACACATTATAAAAACACTAAAAGCTATTCGTCAATCGTAAGTGTCATTATTTTGATGCTAGCAAAAATCCCAAGCAAATGTTAAGGTACGAATCGCAGATAAGAAAAATGAAGGAAAAGCCACAACAAGAAGAAAAGATGCAGAGCATACAAAATTTACATAGCAAACAATGAAGAATACAAGGTGCAAAACTTATTGATAGGAATTCAGCATACTGCTAAAACTGCCAAGGGAAATGATGCAACCAAAGATGAAAACTCAATTGCTTACATGTGAAATACTAATAAATATCCATTGATGTCCAGTATCCTTGATGTAAATGATTAAACCATAACCAACCAGAAACTTGGACACAAAAAAATGGGCAGAAGAAAACTGAAATATTAAACCAAGCAAGTTATTGGTGCACTTCTCTCCCACATGATTCATGACTTAAAAATCCAAAGCAACAAAGACTGTAAATCAGACAAATTAAAAAAATTGATTCTAATATACTTTAAAACAGAATCACTGATAAACACCCAAGCATTTTGAGAAGTTCTCGAATTCAGTGTAATCGCTATCTGAGATCATTGTCTTGTACCATGTCTTGCTGGCAGCTTTGATAGCTGAAGCCTCCTCCTGAAAAAGACAACAATAGGGATAATGCAAAGGGATTAAAAAAAAAATTCTTCAGGACATGGAAAAATATCTAAACAGAAACATAACACTAACAATTGGGGGAAAATTCAAAGGAAATAAAATTTTTAAAATTACTTTACGATAAAGGGAACAATCATTTAAACGAAAAATTAGGAAAAAGACAAGTTAAGACCAAATATATAAAGAATTGTAACAGGACAACAAACTTTGACAGACAGAATGTTTAATATCAAATTCAACAGTGAACTTTACACAATTCCCGACAACACCAAGGCAAGTATAGATGCACTGTGGAAATAAGAAAAAAGGTGAATTGGCTATTCCAACAATACCTTCGAGCGTCAATTCATTTGAAGTTTGAATACAAATACAAGTGCACAATACATGTCTCTATCTCAGACTATTGCCACTCTCTAGAGCAAAGGCATCACATTCAGGCATGACCAGAAAAAAAAAATCTTGAATGAGCAAATTAATGATTTTCAGTCATATCCACGTCAACGATCAGTAGAGGTCAGGACTGGTCAAGCACTCTTAACATAAATAAACTAGACCGTATAAATTCTGTATGGTCAAAAGGCAAAGCTATCTCAATACGTGGTAACAAAGCAAAAGGTCCAATTTGTTGCAAGCAATCCGACTAAGCTTGCACCACAAACCGAATTCCAATCAGTGAACAGCTTTGACACGCATCCTACTGACCTATTTGAGTATTGTACTAACAGTCAATCACAGAAATAAATGGCATAATTGATCATTGACTATGAAAATGAACATCATCAACACCACAATAATTTCCATGATAAAGAAACAGGGATAGAGTCATCAATCATTATTGTTTGAAATGTAAAGATATCAGATTAAAGAAATATAAAAACATAAAAAATACAAGATTAGGTGCGACAAGTTAGAATTTATAGACCAATAAAAAGCCACGAATAACCAGATAAAAATTAGCAATACCTTAGTTATCTGCTTCCTCTTCTTGTCTAGCTTCTCCTGTTTAGCCTTAACACGCCGTGCCTCAGCCAAGAGAGCCATCCTCCTTGCAGCCTTGGCATATGGGTTAAGCTTCAGCATTACGTTCAGATTCTTTAGCGGGTTCTTTTTCAATGGCGCTTTCTTGATCTCCTTCTTGATCGGCTTCACCACGGACCGCACCTCGTCAGAGTTGATGATCCTAGCCAGGTCAGCATTCACCATCTTAGCCCGAGGTAGCACATACCCCTTCTTCTTCTTGGATGGTTTGTCAAATGTCCCATAAACTTCATCCAATTTCTTGAATGCTGACTTTGTCCAAACAATAAATCTCCCTAGATGACCACCTGGTGCAAGCTTTGTTGAAAAATAATAAGCAAATAATAGTGTTACTGTAATTTATATTTGGGCAGAGTAATGACGTTTAGATGGTTTTGAACGGTCGAGGCAAGAGTTCGACTCTTTCTCCTTAAAACGATAATGCCCCACACTGGTACTAACGGTATTACAGCACTCGTTTCCCAAGATACAACAACCTCGTCTTGTAATAGTAGTACTCCAAATTACAAGACCCGATGAACCCGTAAAGTTTAGATCTCTCCACACGCTGGATGAGTGAAATGCACGAAAAGTAATTTTCGAGAATTGAATTATAAGAACAGAAACTATGCAGGGAGAAAGGGATAATTTCGGGAGAGTAGAAAATCAATTCTGATTTTTGGAATGAATAAAAATCGGGGTATGGGGGCCTATTTATAGATGTTGAAAGGTTGTGTCCCAACAGACCCAAACCCAAATCCCAAACTTGAGCTATATAAGGTGGTTTATGTTCTTCTAGTTTTCCTATGTGGGATTTGTATTTTTCAATTTTCCACCTATTTTATTTCAACATCAAGTGGACATCTTTTGGCCTTAATTTTTCATTCACCCTAAATTGGTTTTGAGAAAATAAATATACCATATTAATTTACTCATGGAGTAGAACACATTCGACCAAAAAAATCTTATTTCCGATTAACGGGACCCACTAAATTAATTGGTCAAAAGTTGGTCAAACCAACTAATTAAAACCAATTTTTCCAACAAGCTTCAGTAGGTTGAGGCGCGAAACATGAGCAACCTCAACTCCAGGGATATTACGGAAGGCCTTCACTAGCTTTGCACCCTCTGTACCATATACAATAAGAGGGCCTTTCCTGGAAACGTATCTGTGGTTCCACATTTTACTCTTTCCAGGGCGGATTGCGACATTATCCTTGGCCTTTTGAGCATCAGGGTATGCTCCGATTTGCTTAAGAGTTTTAATAGCAACATTTGTTTTTTCAATAGCCTCAGCAGAATCTGACACAACAAGAGACAGCTCAGGAACTTCCTTGATGCGCTGTCCACGAGCTAGAACAAGGGATGGAACAGCAGATGCTGCAATAGCGGAAACTACTGCGTGGCGCTTTTGTGTGACGTTTACGACTTTGTGCCAGCGGCGCCAGATCTTGGTGGGGGCGAAAATACAACCACCAAGACACATGTTGCCAAAGGAACCCTGTCCAGCACGTTAGGTCCCACCGCCAGGCACCCTTGGGATATGGGATATAGCGCATTCGGTTTCCCATGACTCGGTGGAGGTCTGGTGTCCGGCCTCCTTGGACACGGCGTAACGCTGGCGGGCATTCTTGGAAATTTGGCCGTGCACAAATGTCACATGGTCAGGGCGGATCGTCGCCTTCATCACGTCAGGAAGTGGCATGGAGTTGGCTGCGGAGCCTCAGTCGGTGGCCATGTCATTTTCTAGGGATTGGACGATGACGAGAGGAGCCGTGGCCATCGCAGAGCAACGAAGGTTTTGCTGGGTTGACGAGGGCACGGAGAGAGGGTGCTACGGTTTTTTGGGTAGAGAGTGACTACTAGGGTTTGAATCATGCTATATATAGTTAGACTGTGAAATGACAATTACGTACTGAGTACCACTGCTGAGGTTTTTTAAGGCATTTCGCAAACGGGCTTATGGTCTGGGCTTAATGGGCATTGAGAAAAATAGATAGAGAAAATTTCTCCAATCCCTTTCGAGTTAATTGTCACAATGGTCACTGAACTGAACTTTGCATGTGTTTTTGATTGCTCACTGAAATTTAAAATATAGAATTTTGTCCACTAAACTTATTCAAACATTGAATGTTACTCATTAACATAACATTAGTTACAAACCTTTAGTGGAATTAGTGACGTGACTAAGAAATGCATATTTAACGTCCACCGCACCATTAATAAATTGTTGCATCTTCGATTGCTCACTGAATTTTGAAAAATATCTTTTATTGCTTATTGAACTTTTAAGCAGTCGAATTTTTGCCACTAAAAATTTAAAAAGCGTCTTTAATTGCTCATTAAACATTGATAACGTCTTCAATTGCTCGCTAAATTTTACAAAAGTCTTTGATTGCTCACTGAAGCTCAAGGTTATCGAATTTTAGCCATTGAACTTATAAAAAATGACATCGGTTTGTTGCTCATTAAAAAATGTGTCCGCAAGTGCACATATCACATAAAAAATAATAAAATGGACAAATGAGTTTGGGATGTCGATCCCACAAAAAAGTATTATTCAATTATGAAATAGTTAAATTTAATTTTAACTTATTTTTGTAGAGTTTTAAACTATTTTCATTATTTGAAAAACTCAAATTTATTGTTTATTTCATTGATAAAATTAAAGATTTTTATATATTCAATTTTTATTAATTTTTTTACGTTTGCATATTGATAATTCTATTTTAAAGAATTTCATAAATATAATTTTCGTTTTTTCTTCAACCAACCAATTAACCTTACATAATTTTGACCTTCACCAAAAAGTGGAGCCTTAGACTATTGCTTACTGTTTCTATTTCACTTCGCACTCAATTGCAAAAAATAAACTTGACTCCTTGTTGGTTACAAGAGTTTCAGCGAGAACTATCCTACTGAACGACATGTCTGAAGTGGCTTTGAGTCAGATATTTGATTTAGTATTGGCAATAGCTGGGCGAAAGTCTCCATGAGCTTTACAATGACAGGTGTGTACACATACTTAGTTCTTGGACGAATTAAAATACTGCCTTTTCCATTTTAGTTTTAACTTCTTCAATACAACTTATAATTACTTTTCTATTGATTTACACGAGAACCAAAACTCAAAGGAGAACAGAGAAAACTATTCAGACACTATACATTATAATACATATTAATATCTGTCCTCTCCTTATTATGTAAATTGTAAGTAAGAACAAACACTAGTAAAAACTTCGTCGGGGACAAGATTTAAATCATCAGTTGCCTTGCAAGCAACACGCCTTCAAGATATCTTTTATGTCCGGATCATCCCCTGCTTCTTTGTCCTATGTAGTGTAGACAAGTTCAGAGTGTTAGATGAAATATAAACATTTTCCCAGTAGTACAAGTGCCTAAATTTACAAGGATTTCCACTATCTGAATGCTCGGATGGCAATTCGTAAGGGAAGTTATTGGGTGAACAAGACCATTTTTTCTTTTTAAATTCTATGCCACTATTTGATAGAGATTTTTTTTGGACAATGTTTGGTTAAAATGTAGGAAAAGTTATGGGCCACGTGTAAAATTATTTTATCGAAAGAATGTGTGGTTAAAGACAAGTTTGAAAATAAAATGAATTTTGGGATAATGAAGGCCAAACAGGGAATTATGCCATCTAGTACAAATTCTGTAAAATCCATTTTTCGTCAAACTCATTTTCAACTACACATTTTTCTAAAAATATAATTTTGCACGTGGACCTATAATTTTTTGCTACTTTTTAACTACATATTCTTCGAAGAAATCAATGTTCACAAAATCTATATCAAACATGACCATCTTGTTATGTCAATTTAACACATTAAAATATTTGAGCAATACATGCCAACATCAAGGGAGAATAAAGACTAACCCTGTGGATATATGAGATATTATTTTTACCAGGACCTGCAACAATCACTCCACCTTGCTGCCTGAGAACATATACAAAGTCAGCCAAGATTTGCACCAAAATCCAAATAATTATATTTTATACATAGCAAGATGCTAGATCAAACAAGTATTGATAATGTCTTGAACCCACTTTCATTCAGTAATCATAGATTCAACCCCGAACAGCCCTTGCAGGATGGTTTTCAAAGAAAAGAAATGTTCACCTTATCTTTATATTCCCAGCGAGGAAGAAATTAAAGAATTATCTAGTAAAATAATAGCAATTACAGGGCAGTTCTTAAGGTCCTACTGGACAAGCTTAAGTAGCATTCAAGTTTACGCTATTTGTATTTCATTTCTCATCTTATCATTCTATGTTTGTTCATCAGGCATTCAGTTTACAAGAGAATGAGATAATTTACAAATTACCTCATGTACAACAAGTTCATCTTTCCCAATGTTAGTAAAATTCGAGTAAAGTGATTTGAAAACCATCAACTTTGGGAAAAATGAATGCTAGAGAAGCTTATTTGCCACATCGTTTAAGAGACTCTTAAAGTTATCAAAAGAAGCTTGATTTATGGTCATAGTAGGACAACCTACCACGTCCATCCATCAGTTGTTTGAGAACATGTTTTAAAATATGAGATTCTCTGTCTAACCAATAATTAAGTTATCAGCACCTAGTGAGTATCGTACTGAAACTACACGTAGATTAGGAAATTAACGCACCAGCCACCTCTTGTTCTGGTGTCCTTTTCAAAGGAAAGCTCCCAGTCTTGTCGGTATCCTTCCATGTATGCTTGTATTATTTTCAGACCTGCCTGGTATAATATTTGAAAGATTTCTAGAGTGAGAATCTGAGGAAAGTTGAACAACCTACATGCAGCTTCAAGAAGTAGCAGAGCTTGTATGGCCAGGGATACTAAAGAAACATGGAAAAGATCTTAGCATATGATTGACAAGTGTTTATAGACTATTTATAAACGGTTAAAAAGGGTTAGACCAATATTTATCCACACATTTTGTGGGATCCACAAGTACCATTCATTTATTCACCACTTATTTCTATTTTATTTATAAACAAAACCGTTCACAAACACTTCCCAAACAAGCTTTTAGTCATGGATACAGGAATTCAGAGGATTGCCCTACCCCAGGTGTAAATGTGGTGGAAACACCGGACACAAATCTCAATGCCTCATATGATGAATAGCTTGGATCTGCATATACTTCTGAAACAAGCATTAAGCACAGATTAAAAGTTGTAACAAAGTGTTCAGATAACTCTGCATTTTGTACCAATGAGAACAAATTGGTGGGAGGTGCTAGTGAAACTATGACCTATCTAACAAGGATTTTGAACATGGAGGTGAAACACCATCGTTGCTAACTAGTTCAATCATATTTCAACATAAGCTACAAAAGAAACATTAAAAAAAAAATAAAAAAAAATCACACGAAACCATTAAAATTAAATATGAAAACCAAAAAAGCACAAGTCCAGCCATCTTGTGAAGGCTAGCTTAGTACATGATTTAGGGGGAACTCATTAATTATAGAAATTAAAACTTATGGAGAACCCATTAATTATGGAGCGCATGAAGACATGAATAGTAAAAACAACAAAAATACATCTCCAGCATTTCGTGAAGACCAGCTTAGTAAAAGATATTATGGGGAACTCATTATGGAAGAATATCTTTGAAATTAGTATTCAGATAATACAAAAAAGAAAAATGAATTTCTGTTTCCTTTAGCGACAACATAATAGTGAGCATGAAATTGGCTATGACACTACAGGCAACTACACATTCTTTTTTAAAATTTTAAGATAATATATGTTGCTAAATGAGATATAGGTACAAAAGGAGGAGTGGAAAAGAAAGCAATTTGTGGCAATAGTTTCGAGAGTACGACAGTTTCTAACTCCTATATAACTTAACTTAGTTCGAAGTTGTCACTTGTCAGTTCTAAAATATAAAATCATTAGAATTCACCTCTCTTAGAAACTCACCCCCTTCGAATTTTGTTTGGTTGGAGAACGCTCTTGCCTGGAAAAAGCAAAAGATAACTAGTTAGACCTCTAACTAAACATCCACATAACATTATCTGAAAAGAAAAAAGCAGTCAAACAGGATGGGCAAGCAAGATATAAACAAAAAATCTATAGGCAAGGTTTATCAATCAACAATTTTATTATTTGAATAAAGACAGAACTCTTCTTTATGTACGGCACACAGACAGAACAAGCACAAAGCTCCCCATATTTGGAGCGCAAGAAATTGACTTGCAAATAAATTTTCAACGATGTTTATAGATGACAGAGAAACCAGAAAATATTAATGTCATATCATTTCTTAAGAGCCATTTGCATGTTCTATTATCCACCTACGACCCAAAGTCAGGAGTTTCATCATTACATACCTGATCAACACTGCCCGGTCCAATTAACACGAGTGCCACACCAGCTGCATCCATCTTATCCTGTCAATAAAGATAAGGTATGGAACTGTCTGTAACAATCAATATAATTACACTGAAAATTTAATTCAACTAGATAGATTGACAGTCACAGAGAAGTGTAGTGATTAAAGCAACAAAAGATATCATCAGCAAATATAGAAGCTTGGTTGTTGAGGATCTTCTCATGGTTCATTGTACATTTGACAAGGTAAATAAAAATCATTATAACAACTTTTTTTTGGTGCAAATAAATGAGGTTTTTCTTTCTTGGTTTAGAACTTAGATAATTAATGATTAATTTCTTGTACGGTTTGCCACTAAAAGTAGACCACAGGAGACGGATAGGGCAACATTTCCCCAGCTAACTGTGTCTCTAGTGTTCTCAAATTACATGAAAAAATTCAATTGATCTAATTTCTAGAAGCTTGGCCCCCTCTAATAAATATTTAATATTTTTCTAGACATACGTTTGTGTGATTCTCCTAGCTTGGCTATTTAAATATACTAATGATGGTAATAGAATTGTGGAAAACAGCAGATTAAAAATATAACAACATGGCATTAACAGACCCAAACAAGTAAATTTTATCATTTTCATGAAATTTAGAGACAAGTTTCACCAGTATGGAAGTCTTTTTCTTTTTCCCCTCAAAAGACCTTTGTACCAGTAACAAAACAGCTTCTTCGCAGGATAAAAATTGTTACCTTCTCTGCTGCAAGATAATCAGCCCTTTTCCTACAAAGAACACACCTGCAGCAGTAAAAGTGATGGCATATGAAAATTTACACAAGACAGATGTTTCTAGAGGCTTTAATTAGCAACAGAAGCATCAACCTTGATGCTGATAGATAATTACCCAAAATGACGGGCAAATGCAACCACAGCTTTCCTATTTTTCCATAAATTGGAAATGGGAATTCCATTTCCATTCAAGTCGAACACTTGCACCGTATCCAGCAAATTTGTAGTATCCTCACTCACCGTAGCCGTCTTACTTCCTGCTATACAGTTTCATTTGTAACCATAAGGGGCATTTTGGGTACCAGAGTAGTCTGAATAAGAAATTAACTATAAAATTATAGTGGATAGTAGTAGGCATATCGTAATATGGTTGATTAACGTAAATCAAAGCCTTTCAGTTTCAGATGAGTTGGTTCAATCAATTGGATAGAGGGCCTCAGTTCAAGTATCAGCTTAAGGTTTTACAGTAGTAAATGAGGTTCAAGTTCAACACTACTAATCTGCAACCCTAGAGTTTCCTTTCCATTTCCCCCCAATTATCCTACTTAAAATTACAATCGATATTAAGCAAGGAACGAAATATACACGCAAAAAATAAAAAGGAAAAAGAGAAGATGAAGCTTGCCCGAAGAGCTGGACGTGGCAAAGGGTGAAAGGAGTCGCTTAGAAGGTGAATGAATGAAGTTTGAATTGCTTTGTAGATGAGGAAAGTCGAGATAGTAATTAAATTTTGGCGATGGCTTTGATACTATATAGTGAGATGAAGGTCGAATAAAGACTTTTCTGGTGGGTAGAACGGTGCCGTACGGTGTGGTTGCAGAGAGGGAGATCGCCATTATCGTCAATTCTAAGCTTGATTAGGGGAGAGTGCGGGCGACCGTTGGAATTCTCACTAGGCTACACGTGGCTCATTTATATGACCAAGTTTCTCTTCTTGTGACGGCTTAGAGCATCTCCCAAATGACATGCTCTTCAAATTTGAAGAAAAATACTAAGCGCCCGTTTGGCCACGTTACGTATCATCAAATTAAAGTAAATTTTTATTTTTTTTATTTTTTAACTACACAATCTTTAATAAAATAATATTATACATAAATAAAAAAAATTTCATTCTTTTAAAACCATCTAATTTTCAAAAACGACAATGTTCCCCCTATTATAATTAAAATTAATGGAAGCCAAAGGGGGGCTAAATGTACACTTAACCTCGTTTGCCCCCCCCCCCCCCCCCCCCCCCCCCCCCTCTTTTTTGGAAATGAAAATGGGAGAATAGTTTTTTTTTGAAAAATGAACGGTTGAAAAAGAACGAAATTTTTTTGAATTACATGTAATATTATTTTATTAAAGATTGTGTGCTAGAAAATACGTGAGAGGATAATGAAATGAAATTTAATAGAAGCAAACGGGACTTTAGTTTTACAAACCTCGCCAACCATGGTATACACCACAACTAGCATTTCTCTTAATTTAAGGGATTTTTTCATGTACACCGAGCCTTACAGTCCCTCGCATAGGGGTAGGGCTCTTGCATTAATTGGGCGTGGACCCCTCCTCTCATGCGAGGGGAGTACATGAGGGAGTGTGTACAAGGGGTTTTATTCTTATCTTAAAGAGCTAATAATTCTTACAATTATGTTTCTAGAGATTTTTAAATTAATATTTTAATTTATAGAGTTTAAAAATCCCAATTCACTCTCTATAATTAAAAGTATTTATAAAGTATTTCAATTTTCAATATAGAAAAATAATAAATATTTTTTGAGAGTAGTAAACTTAAGTGTTAAATATAAAGAATTTGTTGAAATACTTTAAAAATTTTACTTTTTAAATTTATAGATGCTCTTTAAATAATAGAATATGCTTTTAGAAAGTAAAAAGTTTCTCAAAAATGTTCTTACTATTACAAGTTTCTTCTGGGAAAAACCAAAATATATTATAGACTACTAAAAGTAGTTTTCAAAAACGTTAAGACCGATAAAAATTTAGATTAAATTTTAATTTAAGTTAAAATTAACCATTAATTTTAACCACATATTTTATAAGATTTACAACTTTTTTCAATCACACGTTTTATCAACTTTTATCAAAATTTACATAAAATTTAATTTTATTTCCCACCATATATAGGCTAAAGTGTTGTGCTACTCAAACAGGGACTTTTGATAGGTCCTGTGACGAGTTGAGTTGTGATATGAAATTTGAATTTTAAGGACCTGTTTAAGAGCGATTTTTCCTTTTAAAAAATTAATTTTTTGATCATTATTTCACTATTTCAGTCTTCATATTTGACTTCTTCTCTCACAGATGGACCCCACTTTTCTCCTAACGGTTAAAAAATCAATTTTCAAAATCACTCCCAAACACACTCTAAATCAAGGCTGCAGGGGTTGTCCCAGCCACCGTCTGGTAGTAGCCCTCTAGGCTAAAACTCACTATCATATTTCAATTTCTCAAATAAAAATAGGAAGTTGTCATAATTTTCACAATTCTTTTTTAATTTTCTATTTTTGTTAAAAAGAAAAAAAATATTAGGCTCCCCTTTGAAAACTCGAATAACTGCATTTTCGATAGCGAATAACAAGATCCCTCAAGTTGTCCCAATGGGGAGCCGCCATCACATTGACCGCCCCACCAAATTTTTCTCAACCAATATGTCCCATCAAATTTTTAGTTCAACTGGATCGACGACTCATCTTTAAGGGCTTGTTTGTACCCGTTTTAATTTTAAAAAAAATGTATTATGAAATAGTAATTGACGATTTGTGTGTTTAAAAAAAGAATTTTTTTTTGATTTATATGTAATATTATTTTAATAAAAAATGTGTGATTAAAAATGAATATTGTAAAAAAAATAATGTGGTAAAATGTGGTAAAATTATTGGTAAACAAGGGCTAAATGTGCTTTGACCCTTATTACTACTAGAATCGTGCTATACGTACATAATCATTTACACAATTGTTTAAACCCCACTCACATTATCAAGCATTATTAAGAGCCTGTTTAGGAGTGATTATGAAAATTGATTTTTTGATCGTTAAGAGAAAAATGAGGTCCACCTATGAGAGAAGAAGTCAAATATGACGACTGGAATAATGAAATAACGGTCAAAAAATCAATTTTTTGGTGCAAAAATGGGGCCCAAACAGACTCTAAATACACACGGGGCCCGTGTGTTTGTGAGGGGGGGACACGGTTCGGTAACCCCCTCCAGTACATATGGTTTTATCCTTACTATTATTAGTTTGAAAATGCAAGTTCCTATTTAACTAAGAGGTTGTTTCGTATATATTAAAATTAAATTTTTAATTGATTGTGATAGATATTNGGGACTTTTGATAGGTCCTGTGACGAGTTGAGTTGTGATATGAAATTTGAATTTTAAGGACCTGTTTAAGAGCGATTTTTCCTCTTAAAAAATTAATTTTTTGATCATTATTTCACTATTTCAGTCTTCATATTTGACTTCTTCTCTCACAGATGGACCCCACTTTTCTCCTAACGGTTAAAAAATCAATTTTCAAAATCACTCTCAAACACACTCTAAATCAAGGCTGCAGGGGTTGTCCCAGCCACCGTCTGGTAGTAGCCCTCTAGGCTAAAACTCACTATCATATTTCAATTTCTCAAATAAAAATAGGAAGTTGTCATAATTTTCACAATTCTTTTTTAATTTTCTATTTTTGTTAAAAAGAAAAAAAATATTAGGCTCCCCTTTGAAAACTCGAATAACTGCATTTTCGATAGCGAATAACAAGATCCCTCAAGTTGTCCCAATGGGGAGCCGCCATCACATTGACCGCCCCACCAAATTTTTCTCAACCAATATGTCCCATCAAATTTTTAGTTCAACTGGATCGACGACTCATCTTTAAGGGCTTGTTTGTACCCGTTTTAATTTTAAAAAAAATGTATTATGAAATAGTAATTGACGATTTGTGTGGTTAAAAAAAGAAATTTTTTTTGATTTATATGTAATATTATTTTAATAAAAAATGTGTGGTTAAAAATGAATATTGTAAAAAAAATAATGTGATAAAATGTGGTAAAATTATTGGTAAACAAGGGCTAAATGTGCTTTGACCCTTATTACTACTAGAATCGTGCTATACGTACATAATCATTTACACAATTGTTTAAACCCCACTCACATTATCAAGCATTATTAAGAGCCTGTTTAGGAGTGATTATGAGAATTGATTTTTTGATTGTTAAGAGAAAAATGAGGTCCACCTATGAGAGAAGAAGTCAAATATGACGACTAGAATAATGAAATAACGGTCAAAAAATCAATTTTTTGGTGCAAAAATGGGGCCCAAACAGACTCTAAATACACACGGGGCCCGTGTGTTTGTGAGGGGGGGACACAGTTCGGTAACCCCCTCCAGTACATATGGTTTTATCCTTACTATTATTATTTTGAAAATGCAAGTTCCTATTTAACTAAGAGGTTGTTTCGTATATATTAAAATTAAATTTTTAATTGATTGTGATAGATATTTTTGAAATGTGGTTAAAAGTTGCGGGATGTATGAAAAATATGATTTATATTAATTATTTAACTTTGACTTAAACTAAAGATTTTCAACGAGCTCACAAACGTTGCCCTGAATTCCCGTAACAGTTTGGAATCTGTGAAAGAAACCCATTACACGTTAATAGGCGAAAAGCCTAACAGATCACTTCGTCACAGTTCCTCCCCAGCTTCCCCGGAAAAGTAAGATTACACTCCCAACGCCGCCGCGAATACCTTTACCCACCACCACCATGGCGGCCATGATCCGAGCTTTCAGATCCTCCTCCTCCTCCACTTTGACTAATTATTTTATCTGGAGGTCTCTATCCACGGCGGCGTCATCATCCGCCGCACCCTTGAAATCCGAATCCTTCAGTCCCTTTATAGATACTAAGGACAAAAATGTTCAGTGGGTGTTCCTGGGATGCCCGGGCGTTGGAAAGGGCACCTTCGCCAGCCGCCTCTCCGCTCAGCTCGGTGTCCCCCACATCGCCACTGGAGATCTCGTCCGTGAAGAGCTCTCCGCCTCTGGCCCACTCTCCAAACAAGTACGCCGCCTCTTAACCTGTGTACACATTTGTCCCTATATAGTATAAATATAAACGTCGGCAGTACAGGTAAAACATAACTTCTGGGATACGTTACAATTGGGAATTGAGATTTGTTTCTTTGTTTATTTTTAGATCAGTAGCTTGTCTTATAATTATAATTAAAGTTAAGGTCTTTTTTCTTTTTTAAATGGATGTATGGACGCATGCTTTTTCAGGTTTGAACTGATTTCCATATATTTGAGATCCGTTGGAATTAGAGATTAGAAGAGCGCTATGTAATTTTTGGGTGCTTTAATATAATAATTGACACTTAGTGGCGAGGTCGTTTTGAGCACAAGGGTAGCCCCTGGTTCCAAGACATCTTATACAAGCCTCTTTCTTGTGTACTTACATATTTATGTAACTATGTCTTGATTCTGTGTAATAATAGTCCCTAAAGGTTAGTTAAATTGACAAATGTGTACTGCTCAGGATGCAGTTTGGGTCCATTTGTAATATATATAAACTTGGTGTGGTATGTTGTTGATTCGTCTTTCTTGGTTCTCTTTTGCAGCTTACAGAGATCGTTAACCAAGGGAAATTGGTATCTGATGAGATAATTATAAGCTTATTGTCAAAGAGGCTCGAGACAGGAGAAGCTAAAGGTGAATCAGGATTTATATTAGATGGATTTCCCCGAACAGTTAGGCAAGCAGTAAGTATTTTCTCCTTGTATATTAGCTTTTCTCAAAAATGTACTCTTCCAAGGTTCCTATAGATACGTCGTTAAGGTTATGATATGCTAGACATTCAGCTTTCTATAAGAAGGTTTCATCTTCAGAAGAGAATTGCTGCTGATCCTGAGAACAGATTTTGACTTGTGCTATTGATAAACTTCCAAATTCTCCATATCTCGGGCTTTATTGGGCTCCTGCTTTATTGAATTTCTTAATACATTGTGTATTCTCTGGTTCACAGATTTGAGAAAAGAGAGGAAAAGGTAGAAACAAGGACTACACAAGACATCAATGTAGTAGGTTTTCATTTAACTAATGTTGAAAAGTATATGCATATTTTTGATTTCTTGTCAGCCGGAGGTGATAGGCAGTTAACAGATAATGACTTCCCTCTTGGTTCTCAGACAATTATCCTATTTCCTAGGGCTCCAAGCACTTCATTCGATTAGTATTTGTTTTGTATCCATGCTTTGAGCAATGGCGTCTCTGGACTTTCATTGGTATTATGCTAATATGATTTGGCTTCCTTTTTCTTTCATGCTTCATGTTCATCTCACAATTTTCTATTTAACCAGTTCTCCATACATGCACTTGTCAATAGAAAATGGGAGGCCATTGCATGAAGTTTATGCACAATTCTCATTGGTTCCTTATTTCTACCTGCAGGAAATATTGGATGATGTAACGGACATTGACCTGGTGGTAAATCTCAAGCTTCCAGAAAAGGTACTGGTTGAGAAATGCCTTGGACGAAGGATATGCAGCCAATGTGGGAAGAATTTTAATGTAGCATATATCAATGTCAAGGGGGAAAATGGAAATCCAGATATTAGTATGGATCCACTTCTTCCACCTCCACAGTGTGTTTCAAAGCTTATTACTCGTTCTGATGATACTGAAGCTATTGTTAGTGAAAGACTTCGGGTATACTATGAGAAGGTACTGCGTTATTCTCTCTTTATCATGCTTTTTCTTTGCTGGTCAAATGGGATAGACAGGGGGTGCGGGAGGTATAAAAAATAGAAGATTACTTTACAGGCTTTTCTTATGTACAAGGAACGGAAAACAACTGCATTTTGCTCTATATAATATGATTTCACTGTAGAAAAGGTTTGGCGGAGGAGGATTTGATCTAAAATTGATCTTTGGAAATTTCACTACTTTCTGGTTAAGCTTATGCATTTCCATTCCTTTTGGGTTCAGAGTCAGCCAGTGGAAGATTTTTACCGTAGTCAAGGGAAGTTGATGGAATTTAATTTGCCTGGAGGTCTCCAGGAGTCATGGCCAAAGTTATTGGAAGCGCTTAACCTTGATGAGAACGAGGATGAGCAGTCTGCTGCAGTGTAAATTTTCCTCAATTGCTTTTCACGGGTTCACTGTATGCCAAAATTTTTGCAGAAAACATAGAGCATTTATATATTTAGCTTTAGTACCTTACCTTCACTTCATTTTTCTCTACTGAAGAAAAATAAGAACCATGGAGCTTAACGCAGACATTAATCCTGGTGCGTATGTTCAGTATTTGTTTTTGTTTTTTTTTTTTTCTTTTTTCTAAGAGTATGGTTGTAATAATTACCCATGAGGGTTGAAGAGCGATACAATTCAATAATCCATAATATATTAACGGGGGTGTCCTCATTTCAGAGTTTAATAGATTTCTTAATATTTATAAATTCTCATGGATTGTGTGAAATTTGATAGAATTTAACAGATTTCATAAGATTTGAATGTATTTCTACTTTGTAGATTTTAAAAAATTTTCATGGATTTTATAGATTTCAATGGATTTTATAGATTCTGTGTAAAATTTATAAATATGCTTAACATAAGCCACAAAATTTTACTTCTTCTTTAACAACTCATTCTTACACATATACACGTTAATAAATCACAGAAAATGAATCCTAGTTCAATTGTTTGTTAAAAATTGAATATTATAACAGAGTTTCAATAAAAAATCACACTCAATATTCAATAAATTCAACAAAAAGCAAGAGTGGGAGAGGGAAAAAATCTGTAGCATTAAATAATCAAAGTCGTAATCAATATGAATTAGTTCAAAAGGTCACAACCTTGTGAGATACAAACACACATATGTACACATACATGACCAGAAGGCAATTAATTCCATGCTCCAGAATTTTCATTGACCATGCTGGTACAAAAGAAAAAATTGTGGGATACCATCCTCACATGTCATGGCTAGAATTTGTAGGTATATATAGAAAACAACCAACTTTTCCCAAGAAAAAAGAATAGGATATAGAACTTGAAAGACGTAGTTGTTCCAGTATGCATACTAGGAACTGTAAATTGCCATGATAATTTCCAGCACATCTATAAAATAGTAAACAATATATAGCGTCAATAAGAAAAAATTAGTTTAATAAAAAATCACACTCAATATTCAACAAAAATAGTAATCTTTCATAAATTATCATCAATTGATAAGTTTCCGTACATGATCTTTTCACAGTAGAGAAATGCGAGATAGAAAGAAGAAGAAAATCTTGTTCAAGATGGGGAGAGAGAGAGAGAGCAGCAAATCTGGAGAGAGGAGAGAAAAGTTGTGAAATTTTTAGGGTTGGGATAAAATTGTTACAGATTTTTTGTATTTATATTTTTGCCTTGAAATCCTTCAAAATCTATCTACTTAATAAAATATTTATAAATCAACTAATTATTGAGGACATCTAAATTTCAAAACTACCTATTAAAATTTACATTGAGGACACCTAAATTTATAAATATTTCTAAAAATCTGGATTGGGGACACCTACATTTTAATGAATTATATTTTAATCTTAATTGAGGATACCTAAATTTAAATGGAGTTTTAAAATCTATCAAACTCTAGATTGAGGACACCTCCCTAAATATCACGTCAAGTGAGAATCACTTTTTGGACGATTATAGCCTCGCTACAATTTAATTATTTCAATAATACCTTTATATGTATTTAAATTACAAATTGTAATGAATACTTGAAGTCTCAATTAATCACATTCATTTAATTACTATTAATTAGTAGTTCAAATTCAAATCCATGTCCATGTCCTTATTATTGATTCTCAATTAATTAATGTTCACATACATATTTAATGCGCAATAAAAAGCATAACAATGATTTCTTAATAGAGCAGGATCCAATTTATCAAATAAATCATAAATGATTTAGCAAGCATTTTTGAGAGATGTTTATGCAGAGTTTAAATAAATAGAAATGAATGGTGAATAGTACTTGTGAGTATATTATAACATATGAATAAAAAGTAATTTGAATGTTTATAAATACAAGCCAAATATGGTCTTACCACGAGTACTCGTAATCATAATAAGGAAATTGATGTAAACTTATTTTAGCACGGTCCATTCTTACTACTCAATATGACCTATGATAGTACACTTAACAGTGAGCTTGATCAGCAAATTACAACTAATCTGGTTTAATGCAAATCCCAAATACCATAATTAATATCAACAAAATTATTGATCTATATTTTCAAATCAAACACAACTTACACAAGTAAAAATTTTCATTTTTCCTTCTTAGCTGTTGTATTCTTCCATAAATTAGGAAATTTTACCCTACCCAGAGAACCCAACATTTTGCTGCGCTCTTTGGGCTTTTATTTATCTGCAAAATATTCACATTCTTCTGCATCTGGGCAAGTTTTGAAATGAAGATTTCCCTTTTGACGAATCTTGATTATCCAGTGAAAAAGAAGGTTGAAAGAACAGTAAACGATCAGATTGCCGAAATTGGATAACCATCCAAAATCGCGGTCTTTAAGCACATCCCCATCAGATGGACAAGGGCATGGATTTGCATCAGATGCTACTCGTAATGAAACAAAAAATCCCTTGAAGAGTAACCAACTGAATGAGAGAAATGAATGTCATGTAGTGGACTTGATAATTGGAATGACACAGAATCATTAGTCCAATCAACTAATCCCACCAGAGTTCCATCATCAGGTGATATGATCACATCTGGAGCGTTCAATATTAGCGTCTCAAACTCCTGATGATGAATTTGAGGTTGGAAGCAAAGGTTTGGAGGCAGAACGTGATGAACCCAAGAGCAAAAAAAAGGCAAGCGATTCTTCTACCATCGGCTGGCGATTGAAAGAAAAATGATCATCATACGTTTACTCATCGAGCTCATGAACATTTATGTATAGAAGTTGGTTTTCCTTTTCCAGGAAAAATAGGAACCAATTAAGAAAAGAAGGCACGCGCGCTCCTCAAAACTGTTTTTTCAAAATTCTGTCAATTGTGAAGTTCTGGGTGATGATATTGCTGGAGAAAGTATGGCTAGGAAGTTGTGATGGGGAATCCATATCGAAGGTGAGGCTGGAAGCAAAAAATATGGTCCCACTTGCTTAAATAAAAGCTTTCATGGGTCATAACCCTTTCTTTGTTGGCTCAACAGGAGTTACCATCGATGCACTAGACTCGATTGCAATGTACGCAAGTAGGTTGAAAGAACATCATATGAACCAAGGGCTTTTGTTACAACATATACATCCATGAATGCCAATCAAAAAGGCAGATTCAGCAACTTCCAAGACAAGCATGAAGAATAAATCATCAACTTGTCCATAGTTTTAAATTTTGGTTTTTTATCTGATAGTTGGACATAAGGAATTATTATAGAAGTAAAAGCCATTTAAGATGAATGCCTTCCCTATTATTTGAAAATTGGATTTCTTTCCCATCCACAAAAATGTAAACTTGTCCATTTTGGAGTAAATTATATACTCCAGGCTATCTGCTACCAAATGTGGATTAACACGGCATGGTTTCTCACCAAAGCCACCTCCCCCACACCGTGGGCCGTGGGGGACTCTCCAGTTTGACACGTACGATTAGATAACCTTCTTTTGTCACAACATTGTAAAACCAGAAAAAAAACCAGGAAGCTCTTCATAAGGAAAATAGGAGGTGCAAGATACCGTTTAACATTGAGTACGTTTTTCCCCTATTCTTGATGTCCATTAGTATGACTTTGCGCTCTGCTTGCATCTGATCCCTCATTCACAGTTTTGCTTTCACTAGAAACCACAGCATTACTTGTCTTCCCCTGTTCCAATAGAAGAATTCATTCATTTATACTTTTAGTTAGATCAACGTCCAATACATCCAGCTTAAACTGACACGAGATAAGCTTTGGAACTATGAACTTGACACTATCGATGATTTCAGCTTTAGTGTATTGGTATCTCTGCATGTGAATGACTCGTGGATTTTACTGCTTGTTACTGGAAATCAATATGATTGTTCATTTAGCATCATGCCACAGAAATCAAATAGTAGTGATAGAATGTAAAGACAACCAACAAAGATTGCAATAACTTGCCTTGTTCCTGTCACGCCAACCAAGGCCAAATGAGAGTAGCCCAGTTCTTGTTGGCATATTATGTGGAGATTCTACATTTCCAACTCCAGGCCTATAACGTAAGTTACCATTTGAAGTGAGTTTGTCATAAAGAACTCAAAAGATGAGAAAATACAATGCTAAGACGCTGAATGTATGTGTCCTATGTGATGTGACAGGGAACTTTCTGAAAGGGAATTCTAAAATTTTCTATCATAATTCTTGCAGGGAAAGCAATAACATTAGTGTCTAGAGAATAGTTCACGAACCGTGGGGATGACGATGCTTTATTTTGCCCTGTTTCATATTGCAATGTAGCTTCTAGCATTGACTCAGCCATAACAGCCCTCTTTTCCATTTGAGCAAGTGAAGTCGCAACTTTTTCATACTTCTCCTGTACGATTTTAGAAAAGTTCATACTTTTGTCCGGGTTTAAGGAAATGAAAATGAAACAATCGATCGTGAACTACTTTTATGTATCAGAATAAGGTACTTGTTGCAAGCTGATAATCCGGAATGAACCTTGGAAAGTATAATCACAAAGCAGCAGACTTTTATGAAGAATTTGAACATCAGTTGCATTATGTTTCTAATTAGTTTTGGGAAGTGTATAATTTATATCAACCATATTGGTTTGTGTTCTTCTTAGAACAATTAAAAAATTACCATTAGATAGATATTGGTTTCCAATTGTTTGACAGAGCAAGACCAGGATAAAGATGTTCAAGCCAGAGTGTCATAACCGATAACTATATTTTCCTCAAAAATGATTCCTTCCTATGCAAAAACAAAAATAAAAAATGCCACGACCATTACTTGCCATGCGTTTTCTGAGTAGGAAAAAAGAATCTCCACACTTCATGTTTTGCCAAGGAAGATGATCTATTGCCTCGGGAGTGGGGACAATTAGGAAACACGAGGGTTGATTCTAGGTTAAAGTAGTATCACATGTTTTCCTCCCCAGAATTTAAGCTCCCTAGCGAACACTAAGGAAACACTACAACTGTTTCCTACAAAATGCACCAGTCTAGCCAATGTAAGGAGTTTTTTGAAGCAAATGAGAATTGGAGTATCAATTATTGTAAATTGAACAAAGATAAAACCTGAAGAACATTTACTGCATAACTCTGAGCAGCTGCATCTTGTTCTGCAAACAGTCGAGCATCTTCAGCGACCTTCTGTTCTTGCTCAACCCGCAGCAGAACCTAAAACAAAATCCTCATCACTAAAAATTGTAAAGAAGATAACTGTCATTTTCGCCTAGGTCCACGTAGAGATGAAAGAGTAAGTTGAATCAAACCTGAAGCATAGCATTCTCCTGTTCTTTCTTATCAGCCAGGGTTTGCCGTAGTTCAGCAATCTCTAGCTCCAACTGCTCAACCTGCAGGATAGTAAATGATATAAAACCTTCAAATGGTAAAATAATTTATGACTGACACACTTCAGGAAACCAATTTGTTAGGTGAAAATGAGGCTTATAGATGAATAAAGTGAAGGATAGTTTTATCGAGTTTATTTCTATTTCTAGGGGATTAAATTATTTCTTTATATTTCTGAACACTGAAATCCTTGGGAAAATCTAGTGCTGTAATCATAGTAAATTGACAGATTACTGAATCAAAGACGATATTTTGGTAATGGAGATAAAATTCAATATGTATGACATCAATATTGCACCTAAATAGGCAAGAGGAAAACATAGCACCTAGGGAAAGGGACAAGTTGACCCACATATATTCTATAATTAAAAATAGCAACATTTTCTCTCCCTCGTTTTTCCATCAGGTCCGAAGAATGTATCATTAGGTAGAGAACTGGGCGAGATGATACACTAACCACGGTCAAGATCTCAGTGAATCTGAAAGTCACACCGTGTAATATAACAGAAGTTGTTCTAGATAAAATGTATTCTAAAAATACCCTTGCACTCAATTCCCTTCTATTATCTTGCTTGACCATCTCCATAAGGGCAGCCTCCAATTCTTCTGCCCTACAAAAGAAAAGAACACATCTTTCATACATCAAAAGAATGCTTTGCTCAAACAAATTATGATTGTAGGACGGTTTTTTCTGCTCAAAGAGGCATTATATTATAAAATTAGCCAATGCAGTTACGAAAGGTAATATGATTGAATTGCAGAAAGTAATAGTGACAGCATGGCCTGAAGCATTAGGCACTGTAAGGAAGCACAAAATGCTGTGTACTCAAGATAAATTAAATGCTAGCATGACTGACAACCATGATGCTATTTAAGAGTTTAATACAATGCCTTGCACATTTTCAACTCCAACTGCAAAAGCGAAAAGAAAATAAGTCGACAAGTTCTTCCATTTGGATAGAATTCAGATGCCAAGCATTATACAGACTAACCTGAGTGTAGCAGATCTCTTCTCCTCCAGCAAACTACACAGCTCGACCTTCAACCAAACCACCTGCAAAAAATCTATTCATAAGTGAACTATAAAAATGACAACACGAGGATGGGTTACAATTTTTGAACCATTTAACAAATGTATCATAAAGGCATTTGCTATTAACCGGTACACAAATCTGCCTATCAGAAGTCTGAGTTATCACAGAAGAGAAAAGATAAGATATTTGATCTTATGGCTGTTGCACAGAAATTGACAAATTTATGATAAGCAGATACATTGCAAGCTTATACAACGTCAATCTGAATTTGCAATAACCAGTATGAATTTGTACTACAAGCTTCAGTTAGGAAGAAGCTAAGGAGAGATGGACAGAAATGCTCCCATTAATTTCTCTATATTGATGATAGAGTCATGACAAAGCATCATTTGATACGTTACTGAAACCACCAAACCAGAAAGTCATCGATTTATTGAGCTTATAAATCAACAAAATATCAAAATTAAAATTCAGTAACTCCAATGACAGTGGATAAGCAAATTCAAGTTTCTTCTTTTATGAGCAAATTTTCACTACCCAACAATGACAAACTCTGGAGCACGCAACCATTTCAAATCCATGATGTACCAACAACGCTCAAACATACAAAGACAGGCCCAAGGTCATGAAATAAGGGATGAATTATTGAGAAAATATTTTGTCAACTAGCAGCCAATAATGTAGTCTCGACAAACAGAACATAAGTTTCTTCAGTGATTAAAGGGGCATGAAAGGCGAATTCCAAGTCAAATGAATGGTAACCTACCTGATCTTTAAGGTCTGGAAGAGAATCTACTTCAGTATTAATGGTTCTGCTGTTAAGAAATTCATCCATGTTTGTAGAATGAGACTCTGTATCTGATACTTTACCAGACATTAGCTTGTTGTCTGATCCTGCTTCCATCATGCCTTCTTTTACCAATGATTCAGGTGCATGCTTGAAGCTATACAGCTTATTTGCAAGACCTTTAGGATCTTTAGAAACTCGACCCCCTTTTGCTCTTTCCTCAATTGCTGCAACTACGGATGGTCGATGCTTCTCTCTCAGTCCTTGCAGTCTATCTTCAGTAATGGTCAAGAACCCCATGCAAGCAGTCAACACAAGTTGGCTGCTATCAAATGTGGACGCAGTGAGTGATTGCAACAAAGTGATAGCATCTCCAGCATCCTTAGAAGTAACTACAGCAGGACCTGCATATATTTGGAGAAGATAGTTTGACTTATTATCTCCCATGCAAATTGACATAGTTTAACAGTGTCTGCATTACCATATAAATCCATCAAAGCAAGAGCAGTTCGAAATAGCATGACGCGATTCCCTTCAAACAATATCACATCCCAAACTCGAAGAACTGGAGCCAAGAAAATTGGTCATAAGTTCACAAAACACATTAGTATATTCTTAGGATTTAAGGATGAACAATAAACAGAAACACACGACCAATATATAAAGTTATGAACTTTCTAATAGTACAAGTCATACCACTTTCCCATGGAAGAATATTTACAAAGATTGAGAGGAACCAAGGTCCAATTATCAATGTCACCTGTACTCCCAAATAGTTGAGATGATTGACTGCAGCATCATAGAAGCAATGAGAAACTTCTAATATTTGACACAAATTTGTCGGAAAAAGAAAAGGGAAATATAAGATCATAGAGATACCAAGTTTAGGAAATGTTTTATGCATCAACTCCTCAAAAACAAGCTGGTCAACCTACATTTAAAACAAATTCTTTTGGTTGAGAGTAGATCCATTTAAGATGAGCATATAATAATTGCAAAAGCAAGATTAATGGAATACATACCTGGGATTCTATCATTTCCAGTGAAAAGTAACCATCAAAATAGTCATCAATAATACCCACCAAAGTCCTGAAAGATTTGAAACAAACTAGTTGAAGAAGTTAGCATTTTTTATTGTTTACTACACAAGTACACTGCATAAAAGATTTATATATGTGTAGATACATAAATAAAGCTTTATTAGGATGAGGGATATTATTTAAATTATTCATTATTGAATCATATTATTATCTCAATTAGTTTAAAAACAAAGCTTTCGAGTAGCCTATACGTATTCGCGAGCTACCAAAAGATTATGAGCAAGAAAATTACATGAGATATAGTAAAAAGTACAAAGATTCATCTTTATGATTTTTAAAGTTACAATACCGATTTCATGTATATTATAATGCACATTTATCATATATTGTAATCATTCAATCATGCGTTCACTTTGGATACAAGAGGTTTAAGGATAGTGATACCAGTTAACTGAATTAAGAGATTTTGACTTTAGACAAGAAGGCTCGAAACCATATTTATTCTTAATCATACGGAGAAATGCATTGCATGTGAGATCAAGAAAAAAAATATTGTGCGAAACTAACAAGAACTATGTGAATCAAATATTTAGTGGTTCACGGGGACGATAGTCCATGTTCAATTTATCTCTTGCAAGTGTCTACCATGAGGTCTACTTGGAAAGTTTTACGTGGATATCTATTTACAATGTATTCAAGTATGAGTAGGAACAGTGAGGGCAATAGGTTAGAGAAAAATCATTGCTGTGTTTGTGTGAGGGCAATAGACTCATAAAGGCGGCCAAATGTTAATGAAAGAGGCAAGTTCTTCCACAGGAACATTTCAATTGAAATGTGCCAGTAAAAATACAGTTCGTTGTCTTTGAACCACAGAATCCCCTTCTCATGACCTCTTCTTCTGATCTTCTCATGTGAACTGACATGACAAGCACAAAACAGTCTCTAACTCTTCATCATCTGTGCGATCTCATATAAACAATGACAGACTTCTAAGCCTTGTCAAAAAGAGATATTTATGGAAATTTATGATTACTTATGATTTGTCATACAACCAGAAAAGCTCATTGTCGTCTTCTAAAAAGAAGCCGACTGATTGGATATCTTCGTATCAGATTTTCTCAGAGAAACAATGAGCAAGAAATAGGTCCTAAATGATCCAAACTTCCAAATTAATAATCACAATTGCAGGACAGAGATGGAATTTCTTCAATGAAACAAATTTTGCTTCAACAAATATTCCACAGCCATTTCAAACATTGACTTCTATAAAGGAACTAATTACAAGAACGAGGAAGTACAGAGTCAAAGGCCAACAAAATTACCGTCAAATGCAAAATAGTCTCCATTCACATCTAACAGTTTTATTCCTCCTCAAAATTTGGAACACAGGTATAAACAGGACAATGACAGGTGGCTTAAAACTTACCAAAAGGCATTTTCTTCTGGCATCATGAGAAGTAATAAGCCAGCAAAAAAATTCATTCCCTGCAAGTGTAATTATACATAAGAGGAAGTAAAAATGAGAAGCGAGTGCTGTAAAAAGAAACTAGTTATATCTTGATGTGGTTCAAGCTGAATAACACATGATGCGAAGAACAACGGACAACTAAAAGTGCACATTGACTTAAGAATGTTTCTGGTAATGTCTTATTTCCTTTCCAGATCAAGTATTACATTAGTCAGACAACTTCTTCTACCTTCCATCAACCAATAAATTGTTCAATATCTTCATGAAAAAATTGAAAATCTCAATTCGCTACTTATGTTACAACTTCTATAACTACATTAAAATCCATGGATTGGAAGTGCGTGACCTGAATAAAATTCTCACATATAGTAAAGATTTTGCACCAAGTTGATAAATCAACATTAAATATTACTTTTCTGAGAGTGTATTTCCTATATTTGGTCTTATTTTTAAAGTCAAAAACTGTCCTCGTTTCAATTTTCCCATAGGTTCAAACTTTATCTCAGATTATCTCTAAATGTTATCTCCTCTTTTTTGCATTTAAAACCATTATTACTCAGAAGTCAAAGATAAAGACCACATGATTTATGAAAAGGAAAACAAAGAAAGAATATATTAAGGCAACACCCACCTGGCAATACCCAACAGATGGGTTGTGTCGCGCATATGCCAGAAGTACACGCCTTAGTGAATTTCGACCATTTTCATTCAGTGCAGGATGTCCTGGAAATGTTCGGTGCAAATCCTGACAATAAGAAGATAACTAATTGGGGAATGTGAATTACAATGTGATATGGTATTATTCATAGGCAGAAAGAAAAAAAAAGGACATAAAGAATGGGACGAAAAGACAGAAATAACAAAGGGGAAGAAAAGAGACTGACATATAAGAATAAAGAAAAGGTAAAATAGTACATGTTCATTTGGAAGAGACTCAATGTGAAGAAAATGTAATCAACATCTTAAAAAGGAAACCAACATTGTTTTAGTTTGACAACAATAGCTAGAAGGCATTTTAGAAGACCATCCTGTCTGGGCCCTAAGAAGAAGTAGCACCTACGAATTAAAAAGATTGAACGATAAAGTCCAGGGCCCATGCATCTAATGACCTTCTCAATTTGCTTTTTCCATTTTTCTGACAAATCAACGCCCTTCCTGCTGCAGTGCTTGTTATCATCACCCGACAGTAATTCCTTGTGCTCTTTACCATCACTAGCATCAAAATCTACAGCCAACAAATCCTGATAATATCCCTCCACCCGGCGTGTTCTAACACCAACGAAGGCTTGCCACACCTGCCCCACAAGTCCAGAGGTAAAAGAAACTTTAATGCTGGATGGAAACTATGAAACCTGCACATTGATAAAGAAAGACTGTACCTCTCCTCTAAGGTCCCCTGGTACTCCACCACGAACGAGAAACTCTAATTCTTCCTTCCAAGGGAATACTGGTTCTGGGGAAATTTCATTGCTGGCACTACTTCCTTCAGCAGAGGCATCTGCACTGTCATCAGCTATCTCATTGTCATAAAATTTCTCCTCTCCGTCCTCTTCAGATTCCACTTCTGATAATCTTGCCTCATCTATTGATGGAAGCTGATTGTGGGTAGAGATTATATTTTCACTGCCCATGTTTCTTCTCCTTACACGAAAACTCATCATATTATCAATGACATCTAGAGATGGATTAATTTTAACCCATGTCTTCGCCTCACGAGATTTTATTTGTAGGGTAACTGAGGTCTCTTTAATTGGATTGCTTTCTATCGTAGTGTCAGAATTAGATTTCTGTACTCTTGAGTCATCCCCTTCACCACTCACCTCCTGAATCGATTTCTGCTTTGTAACTTCAGAACCTACAGGCTTTTGTTCACCTGAATCATACCCTTCTACGGTCAACTCCTGAGTAGGCTCAGTTTGCTGCTTTGTAAGTTCAGAATTCACTGAGTTCGTTTCACTTAAATCATCCCTTCCACTTGCCTCATGATCAGGGTCACTTTGATGATTTGTCACCTCAGAAACCACACACTTGATCTCCTTGTTGGAAAGATGAGATTGAGTAGAATTTGCTTGTTCAAGAAAGCCCTTCCATTTCTGTAACCTCTCCTCTTCTTCTTCCTGTAACCACCCATTTAAATCTAAGCAATTTAAATATAGCAGAAATACATCTTTTTTATTCTAGTACTCAGGAAATAGGAAGGTTATTAATTTTCAGTCGTTCAATATTCTCAGACGATGGTTTCATCAAATGATTCCTTCATTTGATATATAACACCAATCTTCTCAAAATTATAAATGCTCACATAATTAAGAAAACCAACGGATTCTCTATACAAAATAGGAATCAATGAAATTGTTGATAGCCAGGAAAAAGAGCAATTACCTTATAAATATCAGCGTATTCTTGAAACCTATGGAGGTGTTTTGATGTCACAGTAAATCCATAGGCATCCCTGTAAACATTTCACAATTCTCATATCACCAATCATAGTACCAAAATTTTCATTAAACAATATAGCATCATTCATTACACTTGTATGGCCACAAAGTTCCCAAAAAATAAAAATAAAAAAAATAAAACAAAGGTATGGTGTTAACATAATTTGGAGAGAATATAAAATTCTATAAGTTGAGAACACATTCAAGCTACAATATGAATATCTGAACGGAAATTGGCCACCTTTTGCACGAGTTTACCTGGAATCAACATCCAAAAATCGCCTGCTCACAAAGGATAACAACATAATTCACAAGAATCCCAATTCCAGTGCCCATATCGCTTTTTCTCGACTCAAACTAGTTTCCAATCACCATTAGTATTCAAAATTTCCAAAATCATCCTGATGCTGATGTCTATCTCTACAAATCCACATTCTTTTTTCACTAAATCCAAGGAAACAATTTCCTACTATCCAGACATGAAACACTATGAAGATCTGCAACTATTCTCCTACTCTGATATTCCCCTATTCCTAGCTGGCTCCTAATTAAAAAAATTAGAATATAATTATCCTTCTTCAATTATTTGATTATACCATTCTGCATTGTATAATGACTGAAAAGTTTTCAGAAAGAATTAAGTTAACTCATTTGATTCATTGATCAGATGAATCTCTCTGACGAGCTGAATTTTCCTTGAATTTCGAATCCTAGAGTTAACAGTATACGCTCCTTCTCAAGAAAAGTCGGCCATAACGACGCGTGTGAAGCTCAGAACTCGAACAATTCAGCGTAAGCATTATACACACACTTAAATATGCATCTAGACCATACACACACAGGGGAGTTCAGTTACCTCTGAGGCTCAAAATTGAGGAAAAATTGGGAGCCTTTGAGCGTCATCTGCGGTAATCCACTGTAGGAATTGGCTGCGATCAGCGATATCTCGGATGATCGAAGGGCTAGTAATTCATCTCCGTTAACAGTCTTCCCTCCCCTTCGCGCGCTCTCTATCTTATACTGTTTTCTCTCTCTATTAAACGCAAGTGTGTGTATAGTTGACCGTTCCGTTAAAAAGTAGGCGATGGCTTAACAAATAAGGGGTCAAGTGCACTGCGCGGGATTTTGGTTTGACGAAATCCCGTCATTACACGGCGGGCGATATGGTATGTTAACGTTACCGCAAAATTTATGCATCGGACAACTGTGTCGGTGCTACAATTAGAACACGTGTATATAAATAAAATAAAATGAAATGATGGGGCAGGTATATTATTATCCGACAGTTTGTAATTGAGAAAATAGCATTCGCGTAATTTTACTGATATTGAAATTGCACTGTAGACTTTAATCTATTGCTCAAGTAGCAAATTGGTCTTCAACTTTTAGAAAAGAGCAATTTGGTCTTCAACTTTTTGTTGTGATTGTAATCTGACCAAACCCTTCAAATCTCAAATTGTTGCTTGGCCCTTGCATGTTCCACATTTTGAGGTTAGATTTTGTTTCCTAACTTGAAGAGACATATAAGATTTGAAACAAGACAATTTCTTGAGGGTTGAGAGATAAATTAACATATATTAAGATTTTGTCATTGAAAAGTATATTTAGAATAACTAGTCAGATTTAAATGTACATTGCATATTATTCTGAAATATTTTAAAAGTGTTTCTAACTTTCATAAAAAAATATAAAAAAAATTTATAAGAGCTGCAAAAGTTTTTTATACCAATTTATTGGTAGGATTTGATAAATCTCAAATGAACTAAAGAAAATAAAATTTAGGATATAAATATAAGAGAAGAAAATTGTATTCTCAACACATAACTTCTATGATTTATATTTTTTATGATGATGAAATACTACAAATGAATAATATTTTTATATTATATTTGATATAAAAGGATTAATTACTATTACATGTTATGAAGTGGTATGATTGTTCAAAACCAACAATAAAAAAAAAAAAAATTTAGGCCATGCGACCTAAAGCCATGCGACCGCATGGAACCCTACCGAGACCAAATGGTCTCGGTAGGGTTGTACCATGCGACCGCATGGGTTTGTACCATGCGGTCGCATGGTACATAAAAAACGACCGTTGGGTCGTTTTTTGTTGGTTTTTTGGTGGCTTTTCATTCATAAGGTGCACCACTTCGTAAAGCTATACTACTTGGCTATAAATAGGTGATCTTGGGTCATTGGAAAATGTTGAAAAAACACCTATTATATTGATACTTCTTGAGATCAAATCCAAACAAAAATACCCTTTCATATTCATCTTTTTTCTTTGTGTTCTTAAGTTTTAAAGATTCAAACAAGTGTTTAGTGTTTGAATCTTTATAAGGCTTGATTAATCCTTCAAACCTTTTGTCGGATCACCCTTTAAACACCAAAATAGTGGGGGCAAAATTCGTTTGAGGACAACAATTAAAGATTGTGTTTGAGCCTTCAATTTCTTCATATATATACTCTGTCATTCCTTCATCTCCTATTATTCTTTCGATTTTTTTTTAATTCGTTCTCATAATATCTTTGGTGGAGTAACATTATTTCCAACAATCTCAAACGAATTTTGTGTGTGATGGAAAACGAAACAACAATGGCGACCATCAAATTGATAAATCAAGATTTGGTTCGATTGGATCGGTTCGATGGCACAAATTTCACAAGGTGGCAAGACAAACTGAAGTTTCTTCTCACCGCATTGAAGATCTTCTATATCTTAGACCCAGAATTGACGCCATTACCGGAACCCACCAATGGAGAAACCGAAGCAGTTAGAGCAGAAAGGCAAAAACGACAAGAAGATGAACTCATATGTCGGGGTCACATACTCAATGCTCTTTCAGATCGTTTATATGATTTGTACACCAACACTTCTTCGGCAAAGGAGATATGGAAGGCTTTAGAAAGCAAATACAAGGCAGAGGAAGAAGGTACAAAGAAATTTATAATTTCAAAATATTTTGATTTTAAGTTTTTGGAAAATATTCCCCTACTTCCCCAAATACATGAGTTGCAAATCCTTATCAACAAATTAAAGGCGGTAAAGATTGAAATCCCGGAGACCTTTCAAGTGGGGGCTATAATAGCAAAACTCCCGGGAACTTGGAAAGGATACCGGAAGAAAATTATGCATAGTTCCGAAGATTACTCTTTGGAACAATTGCAAAGGCACCTAAGGATTGAAGAAGAATCCAGGTTACGCGATAGAAGTGAAAACTCTTCGGAAGGAACTTCTAAAGCGAATGCCATAGAGAAATCTGAACCACCTGGAAAAACCAACAAAAGGAAGCCTTCAAGAAACTTTAACAAGTTCAAGAAGAAGAACAAAGGAGGTTGCTTTGTGTGTGGAAAGTCTGGTCACTATGCAAAAGACTGTAGACACCGGAAAAGAAACAACTCCGAAGGTAAAATCAACTCCATTCAAGAAGAAAAGATTGTGGCCACCGTGAGCGAGATAAATGCAATTAAGGGAAAGGTTCCCGGGTGGTGGTATGATACTTGTGCTACGGTGCATGTATCATATGATAAATCTTTATTCAAGACCTATCATGAAATGGATGGAGACCAAGAGATTCAAATGGGCAACGAAGTTCGATCCAAAGTCATTGGTAAAGGAAATGTAGATCTAATCTTCACTTCCGGGAAAAACGTTACCCTCACTAATGTATTATATGTTCCGGATATGAATCGGAACTTAGTTAGTGGAAATCTCTTAGGAAAATCGGGTATCAAAAGTGTGTATGAATCCGGTAAACTTGTATTATCCCTTAAAGGGAATTTTGTTGGAAAAGGCTATTCTTGTGAAGGAATGGTCAAACTTTGTACTGTTGACAATAAAATAAATAAAGTTGATCTTGCTTATGTTGTGGATTTATTTTCATTATGGCATGCTAGGTTAGGACATATTGGTAAAAGTACCATGAAACGAATGAAAAAGTGTGACTTAATTTCATATAATGAAAATAATGAATATAGATGCAAAACTTGTGTAGAATCTAAGATGATTAAAAAACCATATCAAAGTGTAAAAAGAACCTCTAGTATTTTGGAACTAATTCATACGGATATATGTGAATTAAACGGCATGTTAACTAGAGGTGGAAATAGGTATTTTATTACCTTTATCGATGACTTTTCTAGATATATATATGTGTATTTAATGAAACATAAACATGAAGCATTTAACATGTTTAAGATTTAAAAGAATGAAGTTGAAAATCATCTAGGAAAGAAAATAAAAACCTTAAGGAGTGATAGAGGTGGTGAATACTTCTCTAATGATTTTAATTTATTTTGTGAACAACATGGCATAATTCATCAATGTTCTGCACCAAGGACTCCCGAACAAAATGGTTTGGCTGAAAGAAAGAATAGAACACTAGTAGAAATGATTAATGCTATGCTTATATTTGCTAAGTTACCTTTTAACTTGTGGGGTGAAGCTTTATTAAGTGCATGTAGGATACTTAATAGAATTCCTTCAAAACAAACTAAGGTCTCTCCTTATCAATTATGGAAAGGAAGAAAACCAAACATTGGATACTTCAAAGTGTGGGGGTGTCTTGCCTATTGCAAGAACACGAACCCTAATAGAAACAAATTAGGTCCAAGAGGCATTAAATGTGCTTTTGTTGGATATGCTAACAATAGCAAATCTTATAGATTGTTAAATTTGGAGACCAATGTGATTATTGAATCAAGTGATGTAGAGTTCTTTGAAAATTCGTTAACCTCAAATAACGAATTAAGGGAAAACCTTGGAAATATCCTAAGCTCAAGTGGAACACGGGATGAAATATCTTCTAAAGATATTAATGAATCTAATGAACCACGAAGAAGCAAAAGAACTAGAGTTAAAAAGTCTTTAGGATCGGATGAAATTGATTCTCAACTTATCTCATTTTACTTAGTAGAAGGAAATGAGTTGAATGTTGTAAGAACAATTCCTATTATTCTACAAGTGGAAACCGATCCTAAAACTTATAAAGAAGCTATGGCTTCTCGAGATAGCATGTTTTGGAAAGATGCAATCAAGGATGAAATGGATTCAATAATGTCAAATAAAACTTGGGAACTTGTCGATCTACCACCCGGATCCAAACCTATTGGTTGTAAATGGGTATTTAGGAGAAAATATAATGTTGATGGTTCTCTAAATACTTTCAAAGCTAGACTTGTAGCCAAAGGTTATCGACAAAGGGAAGGAATTGACTATTTTGACACTTATGCACCAGTAGCAAGAATAACTTCAATTAGGATATTGTTTGCATTAGCCTCAATATATGACTTGCATGTTCATCAAATGGATGTCAAAACGGCATTCCTAAATGGGGATCTCGATGAGGAGGTCTATATGGAACAACCAGAAGGTTTTATTTTACCAAGAAATGAACATAAGGTATGCAAGCTAATTAAATCGTTATATGGGCTAAAGCAAGCACCAAAGAAGTGGCATGAGAAATTTGACTTAGCAGTTATTTCATATGGATTTAAACATAATAGTGTAGATAGATGTTTGTATTCTAAAGTGCATGATGATTACATGATATTTATATGCTTATATGTTGATGACATGTTGATTATAAGTAATCACATGGATGGGATAAAAGAAACGAAGAGGTTTCTATCTTCCACATTTAAGATGAAGGATCTTGGACAAGTCGATACTATTTTGGGTATCAAAGTCTCAAAGACTAGTGGGGGTTATTACCTTAGTCAATCACATTATATTGAGAATGTGATAAATAAGTTCAAACATTTGAACATAAAAGAGTATAATACCCCTATTGATCCAAGCTCAAAACTTGTAAAAAATGATGGAAGAGAAATTGCTCAATTAGAGTATGCAAGTGCTATTGGAAGTCTTATGTATGCAGTTCAATGCACAAGACCAGATATAGCCTATGCAATAAGTAAACTTAGTAGGTTTACTAGCAATCCAAGTAATGAACATTGGAAAGCAATTGGGAAAGTTCTCGGATACTTAAAGAAAACTAAGAACTTAGGTATACAATATACTAAATTTTCAGCAATATTAGAAGGATTTACTGATACTAGTTGGATATCTAGCACGAATGAAAGTAAATCAACTACGGGTTGGGTGTTTACTCTAGGAGGAGGTGCAGTTTCTTGGAAGTCGAAGAAACAAACATGCATAACACATTCAACTATGGAATCTGAATTTGTAGCCCTATCAGATACAGGAAAGGAGGCTGAATGGCTTAAAGACTTATTCTATGAGATACCTTTGGGATCAAAGAATATTTCTTCAATACCAATAATGTGTGATAGTCAAGCCACTCTAGCTAAAGCATACAATGATGTATATAACGGGAAGTCTAGACATATGAGTCTTAGACACAACTACATAAGGAAGTTAATCAAAGATGGAATAATTTCCCTAAATTTTGTAAAGTCAATTGAAAATTTGGCGGATCCTTTAACTAAACCTCTAAATAGAGATTTAGTGGCATCTACTTCAAGTAGGATGGGATTGAAACTCCTTAACTGAAATATCCACCAATGATGGCAACACTACCTGTCGTTACTCAAAAGGTTTTACACGGGTTCAAAGGGTATCAACAAATCATTCGATATGTGGATAGTTACAGCATTATTATAATCCGCAATAATCCTATCCTAAATTAATATAATGCTGGTTGTTACTGAAACGAGGGTTGAGCTATAAGCTCTTAATAAAGTTCAGCGTAAAACCACAAGTACTTCTAAAAGTAACAAAGGTACTGGAAGAACTTTACCTAAATAAACTTCAAGGTGGTGCCGCCTTAATAGAGAGTTGGAGTTCTCTCTTAAAAGTTTATTGAAAAGGATCAGCGCAAGGCCATAAAAGCGCTAAGCGAGAAACGAGGAACTTGAGAATACGGGATATTCGTGTGTGTGTTCTTACCGGTATTGTCACATAAAATACTTGGTTCAAAGCTTCACGCTTCCTTGAATTTCGACTTTACTTTGTTTGAATTACACTATGGTTAGATTCAAATCGAAAGATATCTAATCCTTACGCATGAGTATCGTATAATTTGAATATGAGAACTTGTTAATTTTGAACAAGTGGGGGATTGTTATGAAGTGGTATGATTGTTCAAAACCAACAATAAAAAAAAAAAAAATTTAGGCCATGCGACCGCATGGAACCCTACCGAGACCAAATGGTCTCGGTAGGGTTGTACCATACGACCGCATGGGTTTGTACCATGTGGTCGCATGGTACATAAAAAACGACCGTTGGGTCATTTTTTGTTGGTTTTTTGGTGGCTTTTCATTCATAAGGTGCACCACTTCGTAAAGCTATACTACTTGGCTATAAATAGGTGATCTTGGGTCATTGAAAAATGTTGAAAAAACACCTATTATATTGATACTTCTTGAGATCAAATCCAAACAAAAATCCCCTTTCATTTTCATCTTTTTCTTTGTGTTCTTAAATTTTAAAGATTCAAACAAGTGTTTAGTGTTTGAATCTTTATAAGGCTTGATTAATCCTTCAAACCTTTTGCCGGATCACCCTTTAAACACCAAAATAGTGGGGGCAAAATTCGTTTGAGGACAACAATTAAAGATTGTGTTTGAGCCTTCAATTTCTTCATATATATACTTTGTCATTCCTTCATCTCCTATTATTCTTTCGATTTTTTTTTAATTCGTTCTCATAATATCTTTGGTGGAGTAACATTATTTCCAACATTACATGGATTCAAATACTCATTAAAATTTCTAGATATATGAACAAAAATAAATTCATTTATAATAACTATAAATTCATGTAAATCAAGATTAATCAAGTCAATATTTATTGAGTTCATGTTCATGTGAATGCTAATTGATTGAGAATTAATAACATGAAATTCATGACAAAGATTTTATAATATTTATTACATATTGAAAAATTAAAGTATTGTTGAAATAATTGAATTGTAGTAAAGTTAAAATCATCCAAAAAATAATTTTCACTTGAATTGATAATTTAATATATTATAGTATAGTTAATGAAAGTTTAAAGTCTAAAACACTACTAAAACAATAAATTGGAGACCAAGTGAGCAATTTTGGGTATTATTAATTCCGTATACTTAACATGATTGGATGTTAGTAATTGTATAAAAAAAAAAATTTTTTTTTTTTGGAAGAATGAATTTTTAAATAGTGTATTGATGAGAAATATGTAATTAAAAAATAAGAAATTTTTTGGATTTACGTGTAATATTATTTTATTGAAGAATGTGTGATTGAAATGATATCAAAATATTGTTGAAAAATGAATTTTTCCAAAAGAATGAGACTCAAACAAGTCTTGTTCGTTATGTAATTTGGGATGTGTTTGATACACTCAATTTTTCATGAAAAATGGAAAACCAATTCCAGTTCTATGTTTTTACTTGTTTGATGGCTCTATTTTTCTATGGAATTCATTTTCTAGTTTTTTATGCCACCTAGGATTTTCCTTCCTTTTCAAGATAATGCAACACTTTCTTATTTATTTATTTTTTTTTGCAATTGAAACAAATTCTAAGAATTACTGTAAAAAAAATATTTCCCTTTACCTAATAATTTTCATATAAAATAAAGTCAAACGAACACCAAAAGATAGATGATTGTTTTGAATATTTTTTTTTGTAATGAAAACAAATTTCATCCCCAATACCAGTAAATTATATCCCTTTAATCAACAATTTTCATGTAAAATAAAACCATATGAACACAAAAAAACACTTTTATTTCAACAATTTTTACGTGAAAAATTATACCAATCAAATACAATAAATTACAATTCTCAGAAAAACAATTTCTGAACAATTCAATTCTCTGAAATTCGTTTTTTTTCACCCAAATTCCATATTTACGATCAAACAGACCCTTAGTTCAATTCAACCTCAACAATTTGGATAAAAAGTAGAAGAGCAAACTTATTATATTCATACAGCTGCAATTTTCTATATGTATACATTAATTACCCAAGATGTAGTTTATCACTAACAATTGAAGAACCATCTTGAGTTGAAATTTGTACTAATAAATTATTGACACATCATTTTACATTAAAGTGTCACTTAATTTTAAGTAAAAGTGACAATGCGAGAAAAGTTGAATATATTTATTTAAAATGATGTGTCAATTATTCATTGAGTGCACAACAAATTTTGGATGGCAGACCACAACTCGTACAAAATTCATTTTCCTTTATTAAAGACCTGACAAACAGATAATTTTTTAAAATAAATTGCCAAGAAAAAATTGGCTTAAAAATGTGGCAATAAAAACATAATTAAATATCATTTTTTCAAGCACGCATCTCTTGACTTAACATGAGAAAGCTTACAAACGGATCAAGCAATAAATTAAGGTCGTAGACTTTGCGGGAAATTCCATCTTTATTTGTAAATAGTACATTAGAGTTATTATTATACTTATTAAAGACATGAATTTTGAATCAAATGGTAATTAAAAATATATACTGAGTTGTCATTTGTCAAAGTGTAATACACGTAAACTAGGATAATAACATGCATCCCTGCCTGCCCAATTTGGGACAAGTCGAAACATGGTGTTTTACGGTCAATCAGTGCTTGTTTGGTATAAATTAAAAGTTGCTAAAAATTTGAAGTCAAATTCAACAATTAATTACACACACATATCATAGGATATACAACTTTTTAACTACAAATTTCATCAACTTTTATCTGGCCACCTATTATCGTCTTTGCAACTTTTAGTTTTAGCACCTCTGTAGAAATGTATAAAAATTCACATGAGGTCAATATTGAAACTAAAAGGCAAAATTCAACAAGTGTGTTGTTGCAGTAAAATGCTGAAAAATCTACAGAAGATGGGTATAGTTTAGTTCTTCATCAATCCTGGGCTTCTTTTTCAGTCAGATTTCTTTATTATTAAACTCAGCAACACCCCAGCACTGAGAGATGTAGCCACAAATCCAAGGGAAACCTCAGTAGATACATGGAAACCTGGAGGCCAAACAAACATAAATTTTGCCTAAAGATGAAATATACGTGCGAAAGAACCCATTGAGTTGAGTGACACTTACCAAAGAAATCAAGAATCATCTTGCACCCGATAAATCCCAGAATACCACCGATGGCAGGCTGAAATAATCGTAAAAATTACGTGATAGAAATTGACAAGTGGGGAAATCAGGCTACTCTCTATTGTCATATGAACTCATTGAGAATAATTATCAGAACGGTAGTAAATGCCCTGTTCATTTTGCGTGAGAACCAACCTTACCAGGTGAAGGCACCTCAAAGAGAGCCATCCTTTGGCGCATCCAATTTGGCCGGGAAGGGGGGAATAAAGTGGGCGGTAGGAATTGTTCTAGTCTGTCATAGCAATGCTAATATGGGTTATCCGGGTGAATGAAATCTTAAGAGTATTTACACCACAATTAGAGCAGGGTGCTTGAACAGGTTCTCTATGCACCAGGAACATGTGGATTGACTAAGGTTGAGATTCTGTAAATTGGATAAGCCAAAGTAGAATTGCCAACAAAGAGTAAAACAAATCATACGGCCAGCATCATTTCAACTTTCCTGTTTTCAGCTCATGTGGATGCATCAAAAGATGGCACTCACGGAGAGGTTCGCCAACTTCCAAAATTACGCAGTTAGACTAGAAAGATAATATTTGCTCGGTTATTGACGTTAAAGTGATGATATTTAGTTAGCTCTGCTCCTTTAGCTGGCTTGTGTCCCATTGTGGATATAATATTTTCAGGGCAGGGGCGTTACATCAAGCAATCCTGAATTCAAATATTGCAAGCAAAATCTCACCTGCAAATACTCCAAATCTGCCATACTCTCAGAAATGAGGGTATAATATGACCTTAAACCTACAAAAAGTCAAGTGAGATTATTAATCTTCTACAACAAAAAAATAGATGCATCTTTCAATGAACTAATTAAGCTTTTGCCTTTGTTATTTAAACACATTTCCACATGGATCTAGATAGCAGTCTGGTGGAAGTAGAGAATATTCATCACACAAATTTAGTAGTGTGACCAGCTATAAGAAAAACTGTAGACAACATAACAAAATAAAGTACAAGAATGTACCTAAAATGGCAAAGAGATTAGACGTGAAAACTATGAAAGGATCTCGTGTCACCCCAAAAACTGCTGGTATAGAATCCACCTGACACAGAAATCAAATAGCAATTGAACATAAAACGTCGAAGCCTGAGTTCTTGAGACGTGCCACAGATAATGAAATGAAACCTACAGCAAATGCAATATCACTGAGTTCAATAACTGCAACCGTCAGAAGCAAAGGTGTAGCCTGCCCAAAATGTTTGACTCCTGTTAGGAATCAAGTTAATGATCAATTCAAGATAGAGATGTTCATTTGAATATGTGGTGCCACATATGATTTAGATCTGCTACAGGCGCATTCACATTAGAGGTGTAAAACAAGTTGGTTTAGCCAATGAACAGACCAGGCCAACTGAGCATTTGACCTGACCCGACCAGACTGTTAACATGGCTAACATGCCGGGTTGTTTGCATGGCCATACATGTCTAATTCGGGTCCTTCCGAAGAGTTAGAAATCAATGAGGGTGTGTTGAGCATCCGAAGCAGTTTTTGACGGACAATTTTCTAACAAACCTTTTAATACAGCAACCCAAGAGATTGTATTACTCAAGAACTCACGGCATTATTACCTGATTTTCCACAAAAAGCTTACCTTCCACACATCATTCTGAACAGTTATAAATCGATCGCCATCGTAGTTAGCTGCAAAATTTAGAATATATAATTTAAGAATATCTAAAAGTTAAGGGTAATCGAAACAATACCTCCCCTCCCCCCACCTCCATCCCTTCTCCCTCCCTGGATAGGTCAGGTCTATACCCGAAGCAAGTTAAATTGTCAAAATTCAATTACTAGGCATTGGATTTAACTACCAAACACAAGTAAACTCCCAAAAAAGAGAAATCTGATTGGGGTAGAATGAGATAATAGGAATGAAACAGTACACTGACGTCCAGCCAATTTTTCTAAAAAGGTTTCAATTGACAAGGTCATGGAGAGAGCATTACATCGAAATAAGTCCAAGACTGTAATGGTTTCAAATATTTTTACCCTCCTTTCACTTTTCAAGAGCTATATGACGTAATATACTGTGAGAGACAGATGAGAGAACATTACAAGTGACGGGGATGAATTTCTGACATGTCTTTACTATGAAGTTATCTGACAGATCAGCATCTTCATCTTCTTCAGCAAATAACTAAGATAAAAAGGAAAATTATAACCATTAGGTAGAAAACATCAACATAGTGGTCCTAGTTTTCTTCAGCAAATAATAAGATAAAGAATACAACCATATAACATCCCCGAATATCACCAAAGCATGCTCAAAAAGAAAGGAAATACGAACTGGGAAAGCACAGAAAAACAGAATAAAATATTTCGATGCAATGACACCCCGAATCAAGTTATTCATTCATGATCTAAGATGTAATATTTACAGATTCCTATCCACTTCTATATAAAGCATTTTGGAGAGGATCAAAAATCATGAAGAAATCTGAATTTGAATCAGCATATATCTCAACTAAGCATTCAATGTTTTGCTTTTTGCACAAGAGGTATGAGAATATATGACATAAATGATAGAAAAGTTACCATGGCAGTTGTATAGAAAGATTGTTTACCATTTTCCTTAATGAGATTGATTATGAATACTAAACAAAGAACCATAACAAAAGAATTTTACCATAGCATTATATTCATTTTCTGAAGGATTCTTTAAGTGCAAGCATTTGCATTTTGGTCAAGTCATTCCAAAATCCCATTTGGACTAACAAAATACGAACATGCCAATTTTACATTAGATGTGACCAGCTTAGAAACTAGACCAACAAGTTGGAAACGATGTTTTCTTTGTTCATGTCCGCATTTAAATAATGCTTGATCTCCACAAATTTGGACTATTTTGGTGAAATGAATCTCCACCGAGTTTTGAAGAGTACAACATGCCAACAAAAGCAAAAGACAGAGTTACATGTGCTAAGGAGAGAGGAATAGCACCTTGAACGACGAGTAGAGTAAAATCGCTGCCAAGAGTAGGTTCACTGCCTCGAACCTCTAAACATGACATAAGAAAACAATTGTTTGAATGTGTAAAATAAAAGAAAGCAAAGGTGGAACGGTTTGAACGTGTTCAAGGATATGATAATCAATTCATCTTTATATTTATATCTATATACGAGCATGCATTTACAAGCACGCCATAGTATGGAAGTGACCTGAAGAGTCACTGATCCAAGAAATATCAATGTCAATCGGAAGATTATTGCACCAGCAATTCCATAAGAGAGCACCCGATTCTGTTCTCCGTCACGATATTGGTTTCCACCAACAAACGAGATAAATGAAAGTTTAAACATCAGCATCTATTTATTGAAGTAAACGAGAATTTACAGCACTAACCGCTGAAGTTATAAACAGTATAAAAAGCTTGATGAAACACCTGATATGGAAGTGGCACTTTGAAATACTTGAAAATTAATACAAAGACAAATAGATTGTCCACCGATAAACTTTGCTCAAGTAGGTACCTGAAAACAAATAAATCATTACAATCATGCACAAATCAGACCAAAATTGAAGATGGAATAGCAGATTTCATTCTGATAAAGTAATTATCTTGGAAATAAAAATAATAATAATGCTCCTGTTTGGTTTAGATAAAAATCAGATTTTTTAATAGATTTTAATAAAAGTTGATGGAACGATTGGTAATTCTACATAAATTCAGCTTTACCATTTCTAAGGATTGTAAGAATCCTATCGTCAAACTAAAGAAAGAGAACATTCTCAAATGCGACAAAAATATATAGACAAAGAATTATTGATCCCAAGGGAAAAATGATAACTTTAAGCAAAATAGAAATTAGAGCTGCAAGTCAAGTTCTGTATTTTGGATTTTCCCGTCTGGAGAGAGTGTTTAAAAAGGGCACTAGAATCTTTGTTTACTGCAAATAAACCAAACGATTCCCTCCACTTATAGCTTCTTAGTATTTAACAAGGACACTAAAAATTTTAGTTAATGAAAATAAACCAAATGATTCCTTCTACTAATAGTTTCTTATGTAGAAGCGGCCCAGCACACATTGTCTTCATCACACTGACCATCCCAAGAGCTTAAGTGCTGCCCTTAAGGAAACTAGGAAACGTGACAGATTGCCAAAAAGCAACTACTGCTTAAAGAACTTGTGTGGAGCCACAGAAACACAACTTCATATAATAATATAGTATGCTGGTAGACTGTTCAAGCTCATACCCAGCAAAAAATTCAGATGCCTTGCCAACTCCATATTTAAAACCCAAACCAACACCAAATGCCACAGCTGAGAACACCTGCAGAAGTAATTCACTATATTGACTTGAATTTAGGCATTCACCAATAGAAAGTAAAAATCATAAATATGAGCACAAAGTACATACGCATGAGGCTACAGTTCTCAGCGAAGAGGCATAATCTACAGTCTTTGGATCTTTCTCCCCTGAATTACTGATGGAAGATATGTTTTCAGAGCCATCAACGCCAAAGACACCATCACGTAATGGAGAAGTTGATGTCTGCCCCTCTGCAAAATTAGTTCGCCAACCACGACAATCTTTAACATACAACATGCCACCATTTGTCCTCATTTCACATGAAGTACATAATTCTTCAAAAGCCAAATCTGAGTAATTTTCAACCCTTTTTATCCCCGCCGCTGTTAAGTTTGACAAAGAAAAACATGGAGCAAAACATTCGCTAGTGTTTCCCATGATCTCCAAACTAATGCAAGGGGCAGCATTTTGAATTTTACAAGTTATTACCTTCTAATTATTTTGATCTGTAACTATATTAGAAAAAGAAAATCCAAATTAGAGTTTCTATTTGATAGATGCTAAAAAGTGAAGTAACCAGTGGTCTCCATTCTGCATTCTCCGCTACAGTTTCCCCCAGCAGTCCAATATCGAATTCCATGGTATCAATACAGTCAGAACACATAGGCAGAGCTCTTTGCAAGAAAATATTAAGTTCTCATGATTGTTATAAAATGAAAATTACTACCACGTACCAAAAATGCACTAAATGCAATGGAAATCAACCATTCGATTTATGAATCTATACAGAGCCTCAATTACACGATGTTTACCATATAAAAATTAAATAAACAATAAAGTATACAGCACTGAATTTGTATCTACATGTCCATAACGGATCACTGTGAGCAAGTAAAAGAAATAGTTTACCAACACATTCCTCCTATAACAGCTTACCCTCCAAAATTAAATGAATGAAAGAATAGCTCTCTAATTTAAAATTGTTACCTGAAGCAGACGATTCTTGCTCCTGCTCAGTTTTTCTTGCGCAGAAAATTTTTGAATAATAATACTTCCGACCACAATCGCAAACACCTATAAACAACCCATCCACAAAACGTTAAACCAGAAAGCATTAAAATATATTTAGAAAAACACTATCATTACCTGAATAAAGGGGGTAAGAACGAGGAAGAGAAAATTGAACTCGAGCATTTTTGGGGCATGAAATTAGGGAAGCTCTTTGCAAATTAAGGTCGAAAGTGAATGGGATTCGAACTGTACTATTGTGAAGTGTGGAAGCCAATTTCATGGCCTAGATTTGCTGGGACTGTAAACTGGGTATTTTGCTTGGACTTGTTCGAGGGAGACGACGATATTCCGCTACAAATCCAGTTATCCACCTCGTGCTTTTTAATGGCTCGAGCTCCTTTGATGTAAGGGGGCTGTAAGTCTTGCTGTATGTCATACTGTGCACAAAGCACGGCTCAACTAACTAATACATGGAAATTGAAATACCTCCAATTCTCAATTTCTATTTCATTCACTCTTTTTATTTTATTTCATTTTATATATATATATAAATATATATATATATATATATTCTTTTTTTTTTCTTTTTTTTCTCAACCATAGAACTTGAAAGCCAATGGAGCTGTAAATTAGGGTTGGTTTGACAAAATTTATGTTTTTGCTTCTAATTTTTATTGAAGAATTTCTAAAGAAAGTAACCTTGGACCAACTTTCTTTAAAAGCTCTATTAGTCAGGCAAATCATTTTCAAAAAATTATCCAAATAAATTCAAAAACAACTTTTTAATAGACTCTTTAAAAGTTTGCCAAATGGCCCATAGTGACTTATCATAATAATCACTTTTAAACATAATGATATTTTTCTACTGCTTAGGAATCATTAGTTCAAAAATGATAAAATGGAGGTAATCAAAAGAATAACAGAATAAGAAAATTCTTGCAATTACTTTTCCAATATTTATAAATTTGGAAAGAACTGATAAAGCATAAGCCTATGAATTAGCAGAGGTAGGAACACCTCCTCTTGCTCTAATTGAAAAATTCGAACTACGAGAAGGTGTTCTATTCATAGAAGACGGATCTATAAACACGACCACGACTGTGATATCATCGTGGAAATGTCGCCTTACACCTCTATCAATCTTCTTCAAGTCTGAGTATCGCATTTCTCTTTTCTTGGCTGCCACATGAAGAGCAGCTTTAACAAGTCTCCGAGCAATGCCCTGCAAAATAAGCAAAAACAAGAAAAGTTTGAGTTTATAATCTGAACCTACCTGTGTCAATCACTTGCCACCACGAGCTCAGATATAAAGCCATTTTACTGCTTTTCAAGTATCGTAAACTATTGTAGATCAATCAACATGTTACTGAGTTTAAGTCACTTAAAGAGTAACTGTTTTTTGAAAAGTACGTCTACCAACTTTTCAAAGAGGTATGACTAATAAGTAACGCTTAAGCTCAGCCTAACATAATATTATTGTGAATTTGTGATGGGCCGATGGGGCCTGCTTTATTAACCTTACTATACACCGTCGTTTAGCTTTGATATACACTGGCTAACACCCGTAATATTTAGTTTGAAGAGTATTTTGCCTTTTTTTCATGTTTCCTATTGTCTCCATTGAGAGGTCGAATCTGATCTTTTATATGGTTAAGAAAAGCTTACTTGACGTGGGTAACTGTGGACAATATCGACAGCCTCTTGGTTGCTAAGATGCTCCCACAAACCATCAGAAGCAAATATGAGAAACTGATCCTTGGGATTGAGCTTGTGTACAAATATGGATGGCTCTGGACTAAGGATTGGCTTGTGGAAGGGTTCAGATAGCCTAAATCTCGCCAGTAGTGGTTCTTTGTTGAATTCCGACTTCTTAAGATAGGCATCACCAATAGATCTCGAGACCTGTTAAGACAAGACAATAAATGTCATTGACAGACAATGAAACATAATGTCTTACCTACCATTAAATCATGTTTGCAGATTGCTGGATCAAATTAATTTATAATTTCCAGTTCTCAGGATAATATTTATTATGGGTTTATAATATTCAGTTAAAAAAAAGTACCCAAAACATGTCATTTGCTTAAAAAAAGACCAGAAAGTCTGTATCTCCTTTCGACAAATGATATCCAATATGATTTCTCATTTTTCCCGTCATCACAAACTCAGCAAATTAAGAAAAATACTAGAAACATTCAAAATTGAAAACGCTGTCGAAGATTATGTTTTAATTTTATTTTTGGCGAGCATAGAGAAGAAGAAAACAACTACATTGTACGGCGGATTTCTCTAGACATTATCAATATTAGACATTAGATGAATCGCCACTTGGGTTGCTAAAGTCCCGTGGATTCTCTAGATCAGGAAAATCATCAGACGATCAATCCCTTGGTTATTTTCAGACCAAGGTACTACTTTTCCAACATAAAATATAAAAGAAAAAGTGCAGAAAAAAGTACCCCGAAATGCCACGGAAAAGAGATTCAAGAAATTACCTGTATGATACCCTTGACGCGCCAAACTTTGTGTTTAAGAACCACAATTTGTGGATCATCGGGATGCAATAATTGTAGTTCAGCCCTAACGGACTCGAGATTAGCATTGTGCTCTGTTGATAATTGAATAGCTGTAATTCCTTTAACAGTCTTATCTACCCTGCCCAACACAACACGGGAATCTCCAGCATTGGCTATATAGAGGAGCCCGTTGCATATTACCCCAACCAAACAACATGTTCCCACTGATGCAATTTGAGGTTTATCGAGCCATTGATGTCTCACTAGAGAGAGAAATTCCTCCTCAGTTGCCAAGAAAGCCTTTTTAATAACATCCGCAGATATTTCTTGATGCTCAGAGGCAAATTCTGTTTCAGATGCACCAATTAGTTAACAGAAAACGCCATTACAGTTCTTAGTGCACTTCAAATTAAAAATAAAATAAAATAAAATTCCCATATGTTTAATTGGTTGGTAAGTTGAGCTGAGGAAGTATTACTGTAGTTCAACGCACTTCAGGCACATACATTTTCAAGCATGAAGCCCCAAACTTGGCAAAAACTAGAGGACCTATGTCTACAACTCTTTCTTTACCTTTTTCCCCTTGGTAGCGATGGAATCACAAAACTGGTAAGCCATTCCTGGTAGTACATGCATAATTGTGTTCATAATTTATTATTACTTCTTCAGTTTTTCCCGCTCAATGGGATGGTGTTTTTCCCTCTCAAATCCTCAATGAGATGGTGTGCTTTAACAGAGTACTTGGACTTCTCCCGAAAGAGAAAAGAGGTAAGGTTCGATTTAAAATGGACAAGAGAAATTCCTTGTCCAATGAAATGTAGCAACTAACTACTAGCTGGTATTTCCCAGTTTAAAGGGTAAAATGCTAAAAAACCGGAGCTACAGCACTTGTTTATCCCGATCCCACAAAAATAGTGATTAACAAGTGAGTGGAAAAGGAAAAAAAAATAAGACCAAAGGCAGACTACTTGAAGTCATTACTAATTACACTTTTTCCTTTAGTGGAGGGCATTGATTTTCGTCTTATCAAATTTGGTATCATGAATTACGTTGAAGACACGTAGAATGCTACTTCTAGAATACAGTTAGCTATTCAATTCGATTAGGTTAGTGAAGGCAGCAATGTTTTAGCACATTTACAGCTTAAAACTCTGAGACTTTGAATAAAACAATATCAATTAGTTAGGCACCCAAGGGAGAAGAAAACATACTCTTGAGCATGGGGAATAGGTTTTCGTTTACAAATCGGGATGTCTCTGGTCCACCATGTCCATCATAGACTCCAACGAAAGTACCATACGGCCCTGAACTAAGCGAACCCAATGACCCCGATTCAAGCTGGCTTTGATCCTCCAATAAATTATTGGCTTGAATCACTGCCATTGAAAATTCTCCATTTACGTGAGGTCCCAAATCCTTATACCAAAACAATCCATCAACTCTTCCATTTGGATCAGCCCATCGCCTTCTCGCATCTCTTCCCCTCCAACTTCCATCACCATCCACCAAAGGTTTCCAACAAGGCTTAATCATTTTTATACCGCCACATATATAATGTATCTCACATACAAGCTACATATCCAAATGATTTAAAATCATTATATAATTAAACAAACCCTAAACATACCATCATCATCAACATCATTCAAATAAACCAGCAAATAATATATTCACCATGCCCAACGTTAAAATCAGCTTTCGCTTATGTTCCAAATCTAAAGAACCCAATTCTTATAAATATACATAAAAAACCAAAAGGGTATGGGCAATTCCTCCACAGAAACTCTGTCCCAAAGCAAGAAACCAATAGTTATTTAGGCGATTTCAGAGAATATGAAGGGGTCCTTATTTTGCATACCTTGAACCTGGTTGTATTTATGTGGACCTTCCATGGTTGTGTCACATTTCCACAACAGCCTTAGCTGTAAAAACCCATATAAGATTAATTGTGACAAGAGTTTGTTCCGGGACCAGAGGGATCACAAAGGGGCAAATGGATAACAAAAAGAAAACTGGGATTTGGAATTTTCCTGAAAGAACGAAAAATCCTTTCAGATTGGTGTCAGAATGAGATCTCAGATTATTATTATGCTTTATGCTCATGAAGAGTAGAAAGGGGGGAAATAAAAAGGGAGAAATATAAAATATTTTTTTAAAGAAAAATATTAAATTAGTAATTTCTTCCCTGACAATTATATTACAAACTCCTAATACCTCTCTCTTGTTTTCTTTGTTTTTCTTGTGGCTAACGGTTTACTTGCATGGCCAAGATTTTTGTTTATTGACACTAGCAAGCCACCATTTTAGGCAATTTTTGCTCATCTTATTTAGGTGTGCTCAACCAGCATATTTAAAAGTTATAAAACAACTTATTAAGTCCCCGTTTGGCCCAAATCTCATCAAATTTAATTAATTTTTTGTCTCATATTTTCAAGTACACGATTTTCAATAAAATAATATTATACGTAAATCAAAATTTTTCATTCTTTTACAACCATCCATTTTTCGAAAAAACACTAATCCCCCATTATAATCAAATTTAATAACGGCCAAACGGGGCTAAAATAACCTAATTTAATTTACTTTGTTTAAGGTTGATTTGGATTCAATTTCATTAAAATTTGTTTAATCTAAAGACGAACTCAAAACTTTTTCTTTATGAAAGTTCATTTGGTTCGAATGTATTGAAAAGAGATTTTATAGTGATATAATATTGAGATAAGCATGTAAAGACGTGTACAAATACGTTATTCAAAATTTTAAGCATGATCAATCATATTGTATGTGATATGAAGTTGGTTGATTGAGACTCAAAAGAAAGTACAATTACATTCGACACAAAAATTTGTAAAAATCCAAATGCTTCCATTGTAGATCAAAGATTGATGATAGAATCTAAGATGAATATTGTTGTTCACCTTGAAATATTCATTCATTCGACCTATAAGAAATTCTTTGTCATTTAGGTATACTGAGAAAGAGAAAGGTATGATATGACTTATAATTAATTATTTTTAGTGTCATAAGAATCGAGAAATAGACTATGTAGTTAAGCTAAACACATGATTAAGCATGATGGAGATGGAGATTATACTCCAAATCTAATATTGATGATATAGTTCACATCACTTGGATCATTAGCCAAAAAAATTAGGAAAAATTGCAATAACAGTCCCTAACATTTTTATTTTTTTGCAAATTTTACTCTAACCTTTATTTTGTGTCAGTGAAGGTTTTTAACATTTCATAAATATATGCTTGAGATCTATCTGAACGAAAATCATCCAACATATCGTCAATTGAACAAAAAAATTAAGGAATCAACATCCAAAAAAATCGTCCAAAAGGTATTAACATCCAATAAAATCGTCACTATAGTAGATACTCTGAGGAATATTCTCAGTTAACTATGATGTTTTGGACGGTTTCAATCCAAATAGACCTCAGGTGCATGTTTATGAAAGATTAGGTGCTTTCGCTGGCACAAAATGAAAGTTAGGGTAAAGTCTGTAAAAAACAAAAAAAGTTAGGGACCGCTACTGCAATTTTTCCAAAAAAAAAAAAAAATATTCTCCCCAGCGGCAAGGACTTTAATATGAGTTTACATCATCAGTAATCAACTTGAAAATGTTGTTCATTGCTTTAGAATACAATTTTTTTTTTTCACAAGTTCCTTTGGTAAATAAGTTGTTAAATTTATTTTAGATTGAAAAATGTGAATGTTACCCCAGTGTTGATGTAGGAAGCGTTCTGAAATTTCATTTTAAAAGATCAAATCTTGATCCAAATATTTTAACATTCAGAATCACTTATTGCACTTCGAGTATTTTGTAAATAGAATCATTCGAGTCCAAATAACTACTAGAATCAAACCGTCTATTTGATTTTAGGTTCGATTTTACCCATAATATTTTTAGAAAAACATGTGTGACAGTATAAATTATCTTCTCAATATTTAGCAAATAAAAAATTAAAACGGGCTTTTAAATACATATTTCAATATTTTTTTAGTCCACCATAAATATGACACCAAATAACATCAAATATCTAACAAAAAAATACCATCAAATATCATTCAATGTCTAGTAAAGTATAAACACCAAATTATATACTTGAAGAACAAACTAGAAATAAGAATCCAACAATAAGGAAATAATAGATTCTACAAGTTCTTAAAAATTCGTTTCTTTGAAAAACATTATAAATTCATTCATCTCAATACATGGTGAATAGATTGTAAACATAAAAATAAAATTTATGTTTGAGAGCTGGGAACCTATTGCTTTCAGTTTTTAGTTCTAGTTCTAGTTCTTAAATTTTATATTTATTTATTTATTTATTATTATTTTATTTTTTTTGGAACTAGACTAGAACATCCGATTCGTTCGATGCAATTCTGATTAAATGTCCACCCCTAATTTAAACTGCTATTGAGGTCACAATTTACTTGTTTAGAACAAACCCAAAGAAATCTTTTTTTTTTTTTTTAATTCTCTTTCATATTTATAAACTAATAAAAAAATTTCCATAGTTTTCTCAAAAGAGTCTCGATCCTTAAGAAATATTAACTGCTAAATTAAAGAAATTCTTAGTTTTAACTTTTACGAGAAAAAATAGGTGAAACTGATGATCAATTGGGTCAGTATCAAGAATGTACAGATGCCCTCGACACGGAGAAAGCGATTGAGTGTGATTTTTTCTGTATTTGGATAATGTATTCATTCACTGGATCAAGTGTACCAATTAACTCACTACTGCAACTGCAATTTTAATTGAAGCTGGTCCCAAGACAGAAAAATTTCTGCAATTTTCACATTTGAGTGTGACAGTGAAATTCAATAATTCCTCCTCTTTTGAGTAATGTTGGTGAATCAATGAGAGTACAATTTTTTTTGTTTGTTCAACATTTTTTGATGACGTGTAAGTAGAATTTGAATTCACGTGGGAAGTTGTAACCATCTATTACGGGAAAGTAAACTAAATAGAGAAAATAAGGATGAATAGTTGTAAGATATTCTTATTAAAGCTTATTTATTTCGTGTCGTTAATGAATATTTTGGAAAGGTTATACAACTTGGACTGAGCTCTTTTTAGTTTTAACTATTTTGTGTGACTATCTTTTGACCGAAAATAGAAATCCGAGAAAAAGCTATTTCTTTGAACTTTTNCTCTTTTTAGTTTTAACTATTTTGTGTGACTATCTTTTGACCGAAAATAGAAATCCGAGAAAAAGCTATTTCTTTGAACTTTTTGATTTACCATATATTATTACGCAATTGAGTCTTCAGTAAGTTGTCAAGGTAGTTTTATTACTACTACTATTATTATTGCTACTGATATGAAATTCATGTCACATGACTCGGAGACACTTTTTGACCATGTCAAAGGAGTTTACATGTTGAAGGTTCAAAGAAGTCAATTCGACACCTTGGACCGTACCCAATAAATAAAGATCGAAGTCACCTATGGTAGATGTCATATGAAAATATCATCATGACATGATAGAGGAAGTGCTGTCCAGATCAACCAATCAAGGGGATGACAGGACGGCTTTGAAAACAGGCCTAAGCATCATCATGACTCCACCACTGTCGATCTCACCAACTAATCAAATTTCCTTGAACGGGTGGTGTGGCACAATCCCTGAAAAGTCACAATGACCATGCAAGTGCCCTGGTCAAGATATCACACTTTTGATGAATTCCCAGTTGCAAGGTTGATTAGGATTTTAGCAGATTATTCTTAGTATGTACAATTCATACCTCGTGTATATTCAATAAGTATATTTTACTCGATAACCCTCTAAACCGTATGCTGAAGACATGGGAAAATTAATCTAACCGACTTTAATCATGTTTACATGTCTTCTCTCCATTGAGGCTTGAAGTTGTTCCTTAGCCTTCCTTAAAGAATCAAGCACTTCTTTTACAGTGGCATCAAGAACTGCTGGATCAATGATATGCTGTTTTCCCTTTGGCATGTCGACCGGGATTAATGCTGAGGATTTTTCTGCACAAGTCTCTTGATCATCGTCCTTTTTTTTGTTAACTTCACTAGAAGATTTCACAACACAAAACTCCAATTAGGATTCTTGAAAAAGATTATCAAGGAGTTGAGTCACTCGTAAGAACGGGACTCAAACTGGAAAATTCTCAAAAAACACATGATTATAGGGACAATGTAATGTAAGACACTTTTTTAAAATATTGTCACAGATTTTGTGTAAAAGCACAACAATTACTGTCTGAAGACTGATTTGAATTCTATGAAGTGATATTACTTACATTTCATCTTCTGTCTTTGAATCATTAGAATCTTGATTCGACTTGAGTTCTGTTGACTGATCAGATATGTTACTACTTGCACAATTATGCTCGAAATTCTTTGTGACAACGGGGGAGTTTAGATTTTCAGGTGAGTTGGCTTCACTCGAAGAACTCAAAATCTCTTCGCCTGTGGGAATTTCATGGCTTTGTAAACCATTGTGCTTCGAAATTTCCTGGCTCTTATCTGATAAAATTGAAAGCTCTAATTTGTGTACAGCATTTGATATTTTGTTGCATTGAAGCTTTGTCTGTAGAAATTTTAGCTTCTTCACAACTCTGTTTCTTGATCTTGTCTCTACTTTCAACAGATTCTCCAGCTCCATCAGCTTAAAAAAGAACAATTATAAGTTGAAAATTGATTATAAAATTTGGGAATTTAAACAGATGAATATCACAAATCTATAGAAATGTAGTAAAACCTTGGTTCCCAATTGGTCAGCCTCCTCTTTAGCATTTCTTGAAGCCACTCTTTCCGCAAGCAATCTCCCTCTTAGACACTCCACTGTCCACACACTATCACCTTCTTCCATAATTTTCTCTCTGAGAAATTTATACATTTCAGATACAACAATGGTAATAGTTATATATACACACGCTAAAGCAAAAGCAAAGAGTACGTCAAATTTTCATCAGCATTGTCTACTCGTGTCATCTTCTTAAAAGGTTGAACCCTAACCTTAAAGGCCCCCACCGTCTCGCCCCTAGAGCTTTGTGAGGGAGGTAAATCGTGGAATGTGCACAGCAGATCAGGAAACAAGAGTTGTCTATACATTGCGCCTACAAGGAGTATCATCTTCTTTTTTTGTCTTTGCCCAGTCAATTAAAGAAACTGAAGCATTTCTTTTTAAAGTTGTTTATTAAAGTACCCAAATCAATTCAGCTCCACAAGAGTAAAGAATTCAAAAATGCTTTTGCCAACTTTTGTCTCGGATCATCCTTCAAGAATTGTAAAGCAACGAGGAATTTAATGAAACTAAGAAAAAGGGATTTTTTAATTTTTTAATACTCTTTTGGGGAAAAACCAGTCTGTGAAAAGAAATTTGAATATTCTCAGTTCGTGTTTTTCATTGTTCGGGATAACACGTTATTAAAATTTGAAATCATACCCCTGCTTGGGAATCTTGTCCACCAAGAATTTTAAGTTAGTTTTCAAACATTTTATTATAGTTGAACTACTATGAAGAAAATCATATGAAATTTTTTCTAATTTGTTACCAAACCATAATAAAAAAATATCGTACTTCAATTTTGTCGGGACAATTTCTTGGAAGCTCATTTTTTCTCTTTAATTAAGAATATAGTTAATTATTCGGCTTTAAAATATGCTAAATCACACAATAATAAACATTATCTCTATTTTACTAGTATTGTTTAATTACCATATCAAACTTTTTTACTATTTTTTTTTTAATGAAATGATATCGTTCTCATGTGATAATGTTATCAAACATTATATTCCGTGAATAAGATTAGAAGGTATTCTCGGATATTAAGGAAAAAAATTGAAGTCGTGTTATGTAGTCCCTATTTGGTTTCCATAAAAATTAAATTTTGAGAAAAAATGTGTTTTGAAATAGTAATTTTTTAGAGAATATGTGGTTTATAAATAAGGAAAAAAATTTATTTACGTGTAATATTATTTTATTGAAGAATGTGTGATTAAAAATAAAAAAGAGAAAAATGTATTTTTACAAAATTGAAGTCCAAACAGGAATTTAATAATGCATACGAAATGGTAGAAAATAATTAAAAACCACTATACCATTGATTGAATTTAAGTTGGAGCGTAGTAAGCTTGAAGCAATTGATGAGGGAAAAATGGGTCCCCTATTTGGGAGATTATTTGTATAACTTGAAAGGAATGGCATGAGAAATAGATATGATTTGGTTTTAATTAATTAAAAGTTTATAATCTTGTTTGAGAAAGCAAAGCAAAAAAGGCATTGGGAGCCTTAGATTTTTCCTTGCATTGACGGACAATACTCGTAATATGGTCAGATGGGGCATGCAGTAATTACGAGTCCTCGTTACTTGGCCCCTGTTTGGTTCGATTTTTGGAAAAATGACTCAATCACATGTGATCAATTGAATAGGCGGCCACGGAACTGCTAAATCCCTTGTGAGACTCCAAATCCTGTCAATCGTGTCCAGGGAGCTCGAACCATCAGCGAGATATCACTCTGAAAGAGCTAGAATTCTAACCTTGTGTCAAGATTTACGGGCCAATGAACAATCTCGGGTAAAACCTTTTACGTTCGGTCACGTCTTACGCTCAGGACCACACATTTTGGCCATTCCAAATACCCACACCCAAGTTCCATAGCTTTTGGTCCGCTATCCCGATAAAAAAATGCATTTTCTTTATCTTATTTTTTATTACATATATTTTTAAAAAAATGATATTACACGTAAATCATTTTTTAACCACAT